ATAAATAATACTTTAAAATTAAGTGAAAAATTGGATGTAATTTTAGGAGCAATAAATGAGTCGCATATCGTAAAATGATGCTGGATTTGTAAATAATTTATATAAAATAATTTATAATGTATATTATATTTAAGTGATGTATAGTAGGCAGTATGAGTTTGGAAATAAAAGAATATAATGCCAAAAAGTGCGTTTTTTTCATATTCGAAAATACAATAATTACATAACATAAATCTATGAGTCTACAAAACTTTATTACTTAATTTCTATTTTTTTTTTAAATACTAATATTATAAAGAGGAAAGATTTGATTGTTTATTTGCATCGAATAAGCTCCAAAACTACTGGACATATCGGTCAACCCGGTGTTCGTCGCTAGGCACTTTATACACAACTTCTATCTTAAACACCTAGATATATATAAAAAAAATGTTTTTAATTTTATTATATTATGTTTGCTTGCCATAAACTAAAATAAATAGTAAAATTAATAAAAAAACAATATATTTTTTATAATATTTTAGTCGTTACAAAAAAGGTTACTGCCTCGGTAGCGACAAACGCCTGATTAAAAGTCACACTAAGATTGTAGGTCTCGATTAACTCAATCGGCCGATCAAAGGTCTAATCTATTGATTGATGTATGGTGAACATATAAATGTCTTTAATGAACTGAAATTAAGTGCTAATAATTTGATTAGAAAGTCGGTGAGCTCCAACCTAAGCCCTCGGTAACAAGAAAGTCATTTTTACAAGGGGCGCGACCGCCTAACTCATGGACGTAGCCGTAGTCGTAGCTATAACCTACGCTTTATCAATATTTCTTATGAATATGTTTGTATTCTTTTAAAATTAATTGTTTTTTTTTAATTTATATATTTTATCAAACATTTTGGTTTGTTTTTCTTTTCGAAATAGCATTGTTTGTATCAATTTGACATTTTGTAAATTTCGTTTAACTTTAATAATTCAGCAAACAAAAACAACTAAAAGCATTGATTAAATATGTAAATAATAAAAAATGGTTAATTTTAAAACAATATCAATAGATTCATGTGTAAAACCTATAAAGCGTAGGTTATAGCTACGACTACGGCTACGTCCATGAGTTAGGCGGTCGCACCCCTGATGTGATAACGTCAAAATAGGTCGTAGTGGTATTTGATTCCGTTGCACGTTATATGATAAAAAAATCAAATTCGTGGTTCAAGAAATTTCAAAATTTTCTATAATTTAGAAAGAAATAGGGAATACTTAAATTGACTATTAATATGTTTATTAGTTTTTCTAATTCACTTTTATTAAATCAGAATGACCAGTTTCTTAGAATATGCACGTACGGTGTTACATCTTATTTAATTTCGAGAACTTCTTTTTAAAATAATTCCTTATTACGTATTAAAAGTAATGACATTAAAATATTAAAAAGAAACGATTAATCAAAGTCAAATTCATTGTCATTTTCATTGTCATATAAATTCTATTGACATAATTTACAAAATTCTTGTAAACTAATGTTTTGATTGAAATCGTACAAAATTATGTGTTTATTAAACAATATTTAAACTCTGACAATCCGAGCATTTGCTAATTGTGCTTACTATAAAATTACCAGGTAACTATTTTCATGCTCTTTATAAATTTTTATGTAGGTACAATTGTAGGTACAGATAAATGTAAACACTAATTAACTTGAATGAAACATTCCGAAAGAGGAGAAAGGATGGAATTTTGAATTCTTTATATGAAAACATATGAATCTGTAAGTCAGAGACAGGGCTTGGAAATCGGTTTATTTTTTTAACCGGTTCGACGTAAGTACATGCGGAACTTTACATAATGTGGTGTAATGAGTTAGTTAAGGTTCAGCTCCTTTGAACAGGTTTTTAAACCGGTTCACTAGAAATACGGTTTTCTTCATTAACCGGTTTAAATATGACTCCAGACAATGATCTCACAAACTTCAGCGCGGTTTTTAAGTGCCTATACTCTTATATATAACATCCGTACACAGGTATGATAAATGTCGTCGCTTAAAAATGATACAATTCGCGTTAAAAGCGTAAGAACATAACTTTTTACGAACCAAGTGAATTAACCGGTTTTTATTCCATCCGAATTTCACTCCGCATTTAGTTCCGATCCGGAACGAAACATTATAAGAGAACAGATTTAACCTAAATAAAAACGGTTTATTCTTAACCGGTTTCAAGCCCTGGTCAGAGAGAGAACAGTGGCTCGAGAGTACTGTGCTTTAAACGATTTTTTTCAAAAATTCTAAAGTCATGTACAAAAATCGAAATTAATTTAATTAAAAAACGGGCTGTTAACAAATTCAAGAAACTTCGAAAGAAGTTAAGCGGCTCATATTTAAAAAAAGAGCTTTTATTTCTGGGTTGTCATTGTAAAAAAGAAACAATTTTTAGTAAGAGATATTTAGCTTTAGTATAATACAAGTAATAAGTTGGTTACACAAAACAGTCTCCCATACTTTATTTAGGCTGGAGTTCGCCGTCAGTCGGTTAAAAATTGATTAAGAAATCGGTTGATGAAATTGTTACCTTTGTTTAAACAGCAATAAAAAAAAATCATGTTCACCAGATAAGTTTTAATTGCGATTACCAAATCAGCCGATTATCTATCTTTTAGAACGAATGTACGAATGATAATACACTAATCAGTTGCGTAGGTAGTTCTGCCGTATCAATTAGACACTATTTATATTGACACTTAAATGTAACAGCATAATAAAAATACTAACAAATTATAAAAACAGGAACGATATAAATCAAAATTTTTTAACTTTGCTCAACCTACAAATTCCAAATGATAGGAGGTATCACTGTCAAACTAAATGTCAAAACAATAAACTCGTATTGCAAAATGATTTTGTTTCGTTTGTATCGTATCCTGTGAAATAATAAAAAATCCTTAAGGAAGTAATTGATTAAAAGTAGATAAATAGTTTTTCGAAATGAAAAATAAGCGCACCTCAAATTTCATGAGCGACGAGAAGCGCGTATTTACGGAATTGGTGCTCAGATATAAAGACGTATGAGTTCACAATTTTTGTTATTTCATATAAATATAGCTTGTGTAATAAAATATCTGCTTATCATAATTTATTACGTTTTATTAAATTCAACTTATATTTTACATTATTGACTCATAAGAGACTCAAAATATTTACTAATTAATAATCTTCTAACTGGATCTGCTCTTGTACCATTATTTACTGAGGGCTGTTGTCTTATTATACCTTGATCGATATAAGATATAATTATAATTATACCTTGAAGATATAATAATATCTTCCCATGGCACTGGTAAGACTGCCGTTTGATCATAAGATGGTATTTCATCACCTCTCGTTTGCAATATATTATGTAAAACTGCAGCAGCTACTTTAATAGATATGTTCATCCAGGTTTTCAAACAGTTCTAGATCTCAATACTCTAGGTAATTATCTAGAATATTAAACACTGACTGCATTTTAATTTTATTTATTTGATAAGTTATAAACGCAGAGCAAAAGACGTCAAATAATGACTTGAGTCAATATAACCAATGTTTAAACGGGGTTGTAAAGCTCGATTAAATTAATCGGCCGATTAAAGATCTAATCAATTGACTAGTGTGTGGTAAACACAAAAATGTCTTATCATCATTTTTGTGTAGTCCTAATCTAATCAAAATTTTTGTATTAAGTACTAATCAGTTGATTAGAAAGTCGGTGAACTCCAGCCTTAGCCAACTCCTTTATTCGAGAAATAACTATTTACCTAATAATTGCATTATCATATTTCAATATTGATGCTCGATTAGCCATTAGTTTTTGGCGTTAATCAATTAAAATACAAATAACTTCATTGTTTAAATAGGGATAACGAAAAATTTTTGTTTGTTTGTCCGTCATTTTTTTGAAAGATTGTTGAAAAATATATACATTTTCTACAAAACTGTGACGAAGCGAGCCGCCCACTTCTCAACTTTAATGCCTGTTATCTAGGCTTAGTTTGCTAATTGAAATAATAAAAGAATGTCTTAATATTTTTCTATTATCTAAGTCTAAGTCTAAAAAATCTATGTACTCCGTCACATAGATTTTTTTACCCAGTTATCATCCCTATTCATGTATATTAATCGATGGTCACAGTTAAATTACGATGGGTCAAAATTAAAAAAAATACTTGTTGATGAGTGTACACGATTCAAAAGACTAAAACTTCATGATGATTATATTTATAATACTGATTATAATGATAAAAAACTAATATTACCCCTGTCCATGACCCCAGTCCAAGTAACTTTTAATTAAATTCACGAAGTAATATAAAATTAATAAAAGATAACTGTAGCAAATTACACACAAACCAATTTATATTTTGATTGCTTTACTCCAATTAACAATAAAGCAGGTAATTGTTTATTGTAATTCACAACATTCATTTTATTTTGTTATTCGTACTCATGTATTTTTATTTTCTTTTTTTTAGTGTAATTAGTAATTGAAAGTTATTAACGATAATGGAAAGCGCTTGTTTACGAATAAAATTCACACCTCTAATACAAAATCTACAAAAACATTCAAATCAATGTTTAGAAATAGTACCCGAAATAACATACATCCAGAATCTCGACAAAATTAAATGGAAAGAAGAAGAAAATTGTATACAATACACTGTCCCGATCACATACAAAATAATATTAAGAAAAAGGGAAATTAAATACAACGACGACTTAAATCGGACGTACTATTCGTGTGTCGACTTGTCATTTACATCTTCAGATATAAATCTTATGAAAATTGGATCCGCTACTGTCAAAAGAACTCTAAGCGATACTTTTATTTTATACGATATTACGACAGAGAGAGAAAATATAATTTTAAACTCTAGCGGAGAATTAAAAGAGGACGGTGGAATCATACAAAAGGACACTGAAATTGATAACAGTGCTTGTATTGTACGTAAAACGGAAGTAAACCAATCAGGTCTTGACAATAAGCAAAAAGTTAGTGTTGCGCAATATTTTGCAATAGGTAAACATATTTTACCTTCAGTTATGGACAATATTTTTATATGTGATGGAATATATGATATTAAATGTTTAGTTGATTATTTATTTAGATCGGATAAATATATCTTTCACTAAATATTAATGGAAAAATTTTAGTTTAGCATTAAAAATATTGGTATATATATTGGTGAATTTTTAAGTATTTTACTTTAGGATGATATTTTTTTATTTTTTAGAAATACCCGATGGCACTCGGTCTAACCTGAATACTAATGATAAACACATAAAAGATGAAACTCTTACAAGGGATCAAGTGACAAACACTGATTCATCACACGAAAATCAATTCAAGAGTGATTGTAAACATTTAGATAGTAATTCAAAAACATGGATTTTAAGAAATAAAACTAATGTCAAACAACAATTGTGTCGGACACCTATTTGTTCGGTAAACACAGTTGATAACACTAGGAACACGAAAAATTACACTGAATTATTTTTATATGAAGCTATAGATTTTCTGAGAGATATCAATGTTTACAATAGATCTAATGATAATGTTTACCACACAATCCAAAACGATTACCTTTACTATGACATTTTTAATATAACTACCAAACCTTACAAACCACTGCAAGATATACAGCCACTTGACAATATTAGCACTCATAGAATTCTACCAGAAGTTAGAGTAGCAAAGATTGTACAGCAGATGGAGAAAGAAATTAATCCTTTGAAGGTTATGCTAAATGAAATTATAAGCAAATGCTCATCATTAGGTTTAACGAAAATAAAATACCAACATTCCATGTTTAATAACGAAATAAATGCTGAGAAAGAAATGAATAATGTGAAATCCAACCGAGTGGTTTATTCAATTGTGTTCGATGGCTAACAATAAAAATGTATAAATGTGATGGGGTGTTTTTGTTTTTTTTTAATTATGGCAACTAACCAATATAGAAAATCCAATTCTCACAAAATTAAGATAACGGTATTTAAATTTTTTATTCAATTTGTTTTTGAATTTTATGATCCAGGGAATTGTATTTATAATATATATTTTAAGTGCCGTAATAAGTTATATTGTCAATTCCAACGTTACATTGAGGAAATCCATTATAATAACTATAAACCAATTTAAAAACAATGATATTTACCATCTTGTACCCTAGTTTAGTATCTACAATCTTGCTGCAGCTTGAACAACTGACCAAAAAAGGAGTGTGTTTAGGGTTAGTGTATATATGTCAATTCCTTTATTTCACCATAACTTTCGAATGACATAACGGATGTGAGTGTAGGTACCATTAGAAACGGAACATCATTCCAAGTTGTCACTGGAACTGTCAATGTCGATGACACCAATAAGAAAGTACTCAAACGTATGATTTTTTTCTGTAATTAAAGTAACCAAAACATAATTCTCATTGCAGTCGGGGGACCAATTATATTACAAACGTTCAATTGAACAATGAGAATTTCGTTTAAACAATCCATAATTCAACTGCTTTTATTTTTAGTTTAGGCACTCGTGTTTTTTAATTTTTAAGTTGTTATGTTTTATATAGGTATTTTGTTAACGTTATTAGATATGCTCCATTTTACAAAAAAAAACTAGGAGTATATTCGAACACACAACAAAAACAAATTCAACGATTTAATATCCCTTTCAATATGAAAGTTATGTTTCTAGAACTATGGCTCCTGAATCGATAGTAGATCAAATCGTCAAAAGCCTGTCTTTTGAAGTAGAGGCAACGCATCAAGATGAAGAAGATATACAAGCGCCTAGTACATCTAATATGACCCCTTTAAATGTCAAAATCAAAGTCAGGAAAAAACACGAAAGCAAAATGGAACAAGGCGTACTATCGGTGCGAAAGCTTGACAATCCCGATGGTGCCCCAGAACGAATCCGTCTTATCAGCAGTGATCAAACAATCATGTCTTTTAATGTTCTTATGGAAGCTGATTTTGTAGAAAAGAAAAAAAGAAGGTCCCGAAAACATTTCTTTGGCAAGTTTAAGCTTAAAAAGTAAATTATGACACAATTTACAAGTAGAATAAGATTATTTGAACTTACTTAACATATACAGGTGGATGTTTGGGAACGCGGTATGATGATGACGACGGTCCTTATCGCTTAATTCCCGATTCAACAAATGATGATAAACCGGTAAATGCGGATATGCGATATTCGGAAAGTGGTCTAAAAGAAAAATTGACATCAACAAAAAATCGCAAAGACCAAATTGATCCAGTACTTCGATTAACAAAACATGGTGTCCTAGGAAATTATAAACCAGGTAAAATAAAACTCCTCACCACTCAGCCGTTCAACACCACTGCTGGACATAGACTTCCCTAATGGGTCTCCACGACGATTGGTCCTGCGCTGCCCGAATCCAGTGGTTTCCCGTTACCTTCATTAGATTGTCGGTTAACAACTCACTCGCAAAATAAACTCATTTTTGTATAAATCATTTATAAAACTTTATTCAGAATATTTAATATCATTATGTTTCAGGTGGCTGTCTTGATCCACCATTCGGTGAAGATAAGTACTCTTACAAACCTGTCAGCAAAGATAAAATATTAATAACAAATATATCTAAATGTGGAATAGAAGAGGAAAAATCTAATAAAATAGAAAAATCAAAATCAAAATTTTCTAAATCTAATGCGATTAAAAGCATAGACGAAAATTCTCTATTAAATCCTAAAAATAACGGGCAATTAAAAGACTCTTTAAGCAATAAATACTCTGACTTTATAATCACATATCCACCTGAAGTATCCTCTAGTGTGAATATTAATGAAAAGGTGTTAAGGACAAGAATTCGTAGTGAGGAGAAACAAATGAAGTCATTCAGTGAAGGTTCTGGATCTTTTTACAGCCCTGTAAAAGATTATTTTCGCGAAGAATATAAAGAACCTAAAAGTGTCAACGAAACTTCTTTAAAACAAGATGCAATTATCGGTATACCTAATAACAATAAAATGAAAATAATGATAGAAAAAACAGAAATAGTACCCGACAAATTGAATAATACTGATGCACTACCACATATATTCAATTTAAATAACAAACTTGTTTCATCCAATGAAAATCCGAAAAGAACTTCAAAAGAAGAAACAAATAACAAAGATGATATTGTACATAATAAAAAATATAACATAGAGTCTAACCAGATGAATGAAAACTATAATCAAAATAACATCACAAGTATATCATTTAGTGAATTAGATAATGATAGTGTGAGAAATTCATTTGATAAAAATGCTCATGACGAAAACATAAAATTTAAATTTTCTACACCAGCAAAAATAACTTTATATGAAAATTCATCCAAACGTCATAAATCAATTGAAAAATCTAAGAAACCCAACACTCCATTTCTGCAAATTCTTTCAGATGAAAATAAAGCTGTCATTGAAGATAGAAAATATTTGGAAGGTCAATTGAGCAGTACAGAGTATAAGGAGGTTAAACTTTTACCAAGCAATGATGAGGACAAAAATATAGCGTTGGCATATTTTTCACCCCGTGAAGTAGTAGATGATGATGTGATAACTTTAAATGAAAATATGTCTATATTACATAAAAATTCTATGGAAGACATCGGTGACAGCACTTCATTCACTGATGGGAGCACGAAATCAGTTGAAAATGGCCAAAATTCCAAAAATATGTCAATATTACTTAAAACTTCTAAGGAAGGCACCGACGATATCACTTCATTAAACCATGTGAACATAAAATCGGTTCAAAATGATTTTTACTGCCAAGATTCCGTCAAAAAACCTCAATCTTTTACTGTACGATCATCTTCGGAAGAGTCATCTTTGAAAGACAAAGTAACACATAAAGTCGTTGACCCAACACATGAATCAGATGAAAGAGCAAACAAAATATCTGCTTCTGATCATAGGACAACCCATGATAACGCCACAAGTAATATAAATAATATTCTTCTAGAAAGTAACAGACACGATCTAATAAAAAAATCTTCTTTACATTCTTCTTCAAACGAAACAAAACAAGAAGATTTTTATATTTCTCCTTTAAATGAAAGTGTAGAAGAAGGTACATTTAAATCATTTAAAAAAGTAATGGTTGATACAAATGGCAAAACCGAATACAATGGAAGAAATAACTCTGAAAGAACAACAACTATTAATAAGTCAGTTTCTAATGAAAAAATTACTGACCTCCTTATCTCTACATCTTTAAATGTCACTTCAAAAACAAATGAAATTAGTAGTCAAAATATAAAAGAAAACGAAACGAAACACAAAGCCACGCAAGATCAACTTGTATCTAATATAATTAAAGATGCTAATCAAAGTTTTGAAAGCTTTAAGAATACTTCATTACAATCAACCATAGTAAAGAGCAGACTATTAGACTCACATACGTCAAATAAATCAACAGGTGGTGTTGATTATGACTCAAATAAAACATTTTATGAAACTGTCAATGGAAATACAACTACACCATTCAAAGAAACAACTATATCTAATAGAAAAACCAACATTAAAAACAAAACGGCTTCAGACGATTCGGTTAATAATAAAAAAATTAAGAACGAATCTGAAAGATCTAAAAAAATTTATCCACATCCCCCTATTACAAATGACCAATTTGATAGCAAATATGTAAGTGAGATTAAAGCTTCTAATAAAATAGCAAAAGATGACAATGACTGTATGTCATCCAGTGAAATAAAAAGTCTAAAAAGATATGCAGACCCATGGTATAGTGTAGAAGTTTACGACAAAACAAATAGTAATGACAGTTTTATAGCACCGTCAAATAAAGAACATCATATATTTTCGGAAAAAATATCAAGTGATGAAATGAAACGTTTTGACAGTTACAGTGTTACCATAAATGAAAATGCAAATATATCAGTAAAAGAGTCTTTAGTTAACCCAAGTGGAAATAGTATCTCAATATACAATGGCGAGAGTAATATCGAGAAAGAAATTGCAAAGAACAAATTTATACATGATAAAATAAATACTACTGAATCTCCCGCTTCACCAGTACTTTTATCAAACAGTATTTCTAATGGCAAAAACGTTGAAGAAGACGGGACCATAAAACGATTTCTAAGTAATAATTCATCAGATGGAATTTATAGTGTACGTGAATATTGGGACACTTTAAATGACGCAGTGACTAAAACAATATTGAAAGAACAAAATGTATCTAAACTATTATCTAATGAAATAGTTCATGAGAAAGATAGCTTCTTAGAATCAGATTCTTCAAAAGATGTTCGTAATCCAATAAATCTTTCAGAAAATAGCATAATCTCAAATAGAAAAGATTTAAATGAATATACTATAAATACTGAACCTCCCGCTTCACCAGTACTTTTATCAAACAGAATTTCTAATGGTAAAAACATTGAAGAAAACAGGACCATAAAACGATTACTAAGTAATAATTCATCAGATGAAATTTATACTGTACGTGAATATTTGGACACTTTAAATGATTCAGTGACTAAAATAATATTGAATGAACAAAATGTATCTAAACCATTATCTAATGAAATAGTTAATGAAAAAGATAGCTTCTTAGAATTAGATTATTCAAAAGATGTTCGTAATTCAACAATTCTGTCAGAAAAACGCACAATCTCAGATAGAAAAGTCTTAAATGAATATGCTATAAATACTGAATCTCCCGCTTCACCAGTACTTTTATCAAACAGTATTTTAAATGGAAAAAACATTGAAGAAGACAGGACCATAAAACGATTACTAAGTGATAATTCATCGGATGGAATTTATAGTGTACCTGAAAATTTGGACACTTTAAATGACACAGTGACTAAAACAATGTTGAAAGAACAAAATATATCTAAACCATTATCAAATGGAATAGTTGATGAGAAAGATAGCTTCTTAGAATCATTGACATCAGATTATTCAAAAGATCTTCGTAATTCAATAATTCTCTCAAAAAAAAGCATAATATCAGATAGAAAAGACTTAAATGTATATGCGAATAAAAGTATTAAAAACTATGAAAACATAAGAAGCCTCAAGAAAGAAAGTGAAATAAATCCTGAAACAAAAAGTTTACCTTCAAAAACAAGCACAGATGATGTTCTATATAAACATGCGATTCACTCTAATAATGATAATGGTTTAACTCAATATAATGACAGTTTAGTTGTAATGGATGTAGATGAAGTTTTTGAAAATATTCCACATGATAAGAAAACCTTACAGAAAGAAAATTTAAGCAAAGAGGACAGTTTTATTCGTCAATATCCGTCCATAAAACAAGGTGATCAAGAGGAAAAAGAAATAATCAATCAAAATATTCAACAAGCAGACGATAATATGCAAACAACATTTTTAGAACAAAATAATGAACAGAATGTAAGAAATGATTTTGTGATAAAGAATTCGCACCTTAAAACGCCAAATGACATAGAGAAACCAAAAATTTCATATGTAAGCTCGGCTTTAAGGTCATCAAATAATAACAATAAAAGTTTAGCTAAAGACGTAGATGACTTAACTCCAAGAAAATTAACAGAAGATCCTATTAACGGTGAAAACTATGGCAGGACAGATATCAATAAATATCAACATGATTTTGTGACCTCACGTCAACTCAACACTGAAGCAAGTTATTTAAAAAATGTAACTCTTAGATCTAATGATGTTTCCCTTGAGCATAGCGATGTAATTACATCACCTAAATATTTTAAACAGGAGAGATCTGTGCGAACCGTTTCCAACACAAGTGAGGTGACAAAATCCTTGAACGATATTTTTTCTAATAAATCTGGTTCAAAATCATCAACAATTGTATTTAACGAAAACTATGAAGAGCATGGAGTCGGAACTAAAACAGAATATAATTCATCAATATCATTGCCTAAAACATTCATAGAAACTATAACAACATCGCCAGGTAAAGCTTCAAATGTGTCTTTAAAAAGCTCACTTAAAAATGAAGTAATATCTCTTGATATTGGATTCCAATCGTATAAAAATGAGAAAAGAGAAAGAATCCTTAAAACTATTGATACATCCAAAGAACCATTACGAAGGACTGATGATACAGTTACGTTTATAAGAGCTCAAATCAGACCTCTTGGCAACGATATAAGAATACCAGTTGATTCAGACAATGAATTGTCTATACAGATACAAAGAAGTAAAAGTCCTTTGCGAGTTCATATACAAAATATCCCACAACTTGGCGATAAAATGATGTCTTCGACAATTTCGAAAGGTAAATAATTATCAAATCTGAGATAGGTAATTTATATTTGTCTATTAGACAAAATATTCTGTTATAGGTTCGCAATTTTTATATCCGAGTGTGTAAGAGTATTAAAAATTTAAATTATTTTTAGGAAACAAATTTACTGGTAGAAAAATGCAAGGCATATTAGATTCAATATATGAACACGATTTGATACCTTTACAAAAGGCATTCAGATATTTGAAACAAGATGTAGATATGTTGGCAGCTCAACAATCGAAATTTAAAGATAAAACTATTGGACCAAAAAGGTCGAAATCCATTCGTATTGTTAAAGTGAATCCCAAATGTTGTTGTTGGAATAAATGCTAAGGTTGATAATAAAATAAGACTGATATTTGGTGTTAAAGTCTACATAACCTAATTTAATATGAAAAATACTAATAATAATAGAAAGGCTGTGTGTTGTTTCATTCAAGTTTTAAACTAGAATAATAATTATGAGTAAGTAAGTATAAAAGTTTGGTTTTTTACGAGTTTATTAGCCAATAAAATCACTGATACAGTCTTAATCGCAGCAAATCTTAGGGTGATTAATTTTTGGAAAGCTGATTTTAATAACATATTAGTAAATCTATATTCTACAATAAATTATAATCATACAAAAGGCTATATACAACGTGGATAGAAATGTTCAGTTCACATACAACTAGCTGTACCCTCAACTTCGACAGCTTAATAGTAGCCTAGTTACCCCTTATTACATCAATAAAATTCCTGTCAAAATCGGTCTCGCTGTTTCAGAGATTAATCAGAAAAAATAGACAGACAAACAAAAAATGTGAAAAAAATGTTGTATATGTAGTTAAATATGTATTTAGTAAAAAGCGATTACTTTATAAAAGCGATTACTTTATAAAAGCGATTAAACACTCTAGTTTTATTTATTTTTATAAATTATCCGACCAACATCAATCAAATCAAAAAATTGTAAAATAATCATTAGTCTCACACGTGGACGGACAACACAGTCTGGCGTTTCTCGCGATATATGTACAGACAACCTTAGATATTAATAGCATTTAAGTTGGACAACACGTATTGAAGTGAATTAATTGTTATCTTTAATTATTACGTATTTGCGTTTATCGTTTGAATGTTTTAAGTTTTTTGACAAGAATCGATTATTTAAAATTATATTAAATTGTATGATTTTTCATAGCGCGATCTCACTAGGACAGTTTTTAACTTTTGTTTAATGTGTTTTGATTGTAAACAATGGTTGATAAAATTGATTCTGTGTCTAAAAAAGTGGATGAAAACGATAAATATGTAGCTGATCTGGAACAAGCTCTAACAGTAGTCGGTAAGTGTAACATGTTATTATTCCAAGCCATTCTGTTCCATTTTTCATCGAAATTCGTGTAATTGTAAGTTTTCTTTTATTCGGCAGCTTCATGGACCAAAATGATCCCATTAAAATTTTATCGAAGTTTTTTTGACGCTTTTCATCAGATATGACGTAAATATTTCAATGATATGAATATTGCAACTAAAAAACTAAAGATTTTGTATTTTGAATTTATTCAAAATCCGATAGGAGGATTTTCTATGCTCAATATGTTTATATGAAAGTATATTTTTTCATCGATTTCTTGTAAAATTTTTAATCAATTTCTATCAAACTTGCTGTTTCCCCGCAACTTCGCCTACTTAAATTATAGCCTATATCTCCCGCGTTTCTAAAACTCTATGTTGAATATTTTTGTTTAAATAGGTATTTAATATTAATTTAATATATAAAAATACCAATACCATTAAAAGCATGAAATTAAAACCTTTTAAAAAATTGGAACCGATTTCAAACTTTAAAAAGTGGTAAATAATACTTATCTCAAAAGCGACTTGTTCAAGAAAGTCGCTTATCATTTAATTAATAAGTAAACTATCGAAAAATATTGTAAAAAGGATGGCAATCATATCTTGACTGAACTAATGTAAATGCGCCTCATGTCGTTTCAAAATATTGACAATCAAAGAATAAACGCAGCATACTATCATCTGCGTCTGATAATCGTTCTCATATGTTGTGAAGGACAAAGTAATTGGAATCTTTATGTGACCACTTATGAGTTCCTCATATCTAAATTAATCTATGATTGATTTAAAATTATGAAAAGAATATGTGATCGATCATCGACCCAAAAAGAAATTCAATAAAAACGGATCTTCTATTAAAAAAGAAACAGATTTTGGAAATAATTATAATGAAAAAAGAAAAAAAGCGAGTACTCTCGGTGAGCGAAGTACTTAACTACCCAAGACCTAAAGCAGACTAAAGAATATTTCAACCACTTGTTATATTCAATCGTTCAATAATAATTGTTAGTAATAACAGTGATTATTACGTAGTAGTAACTTTAATCTTCTCACATAAATAATACCACAATTTTTCTGCTATTTTTTTTAATAATATATTTGACAGATAATAACAAAAAATATTCCTCTAATTAAAACCATAGATATTATCCTAAGAAAGGAGGAGAGGAGAAGGAGGTACAACAGGAACAAAGTTTCTATCGAAAACTTTTACAAAGGTATATATTAGGATATTTCATAGTATGTATTTACCATATTAAACATTCCGCCCACCTAAAGCTACCGGCCTTTTCAAAACTTAATATTATTGTTATAGAGCAGATTTTCAGATCCGCCCATCGTAAAAACTTTATACAAATAACACAAACATATCTTTTAATTATCATTATTAATTATCGTAAAACTAAGATTTTGGTAAGAAACATAATTTGTTACATGGCCGTTAAAAGTATTATTTTTTGTCAATCTTGCAATGTTGGATAAAACTTTACGTTTTGTCACATATATATCTAATTCTGGTAAGTTATAGGTGTACTCAAAATTATCAGAAATTTTATTCCAGGAAATATCTAAAACTAATGGTGTCATTAACTTTAAAATGGTAGTTACTATTGAGCTATGGTTTTCTCTTTCAATATAATCCAAAAGTGATTTGCTGTTGCTGCCCCATTTTTGTAACATAAAGCCTCCTTCTCTCATTAATTCGTTCATTTCTTTATAAATTTTTAAAATTTATAAATTTCATCTTTTGTCTCGCAACTGAATAACATATCATCGACATAGAAATCTTCAGCAGTTATTTTTGTAGCCAACGAGTATTTCGCCTCTTCATCTTTTGCCAATTGTTGGAGAGATTTTACTGCCAAATATGGCGTACACGACGTTCCGAAGGTGGATCTCAATAGTCTGAAATGCTGTATGGGTTGATCGGGATCATCACGCCATACTATGCGTTAAAAATCGGTATCACTTTTATCAACGACCACCTGTCTATACATTTGTGTTATATCTGCTACGACATAATATTGTTTTATTCGCCATCTCATCAAAAGGTGGCGTAGATCTTTTTGTATCCTAGAACCCACTAGCAACGTATCATTTAAAGACACCATTAATACCTTTACAAGATGCGTCAAAAACTACTATTACTTTTGTAGTTTGTCTAACTTCTCGGACTATAACATGGTGAGAAAGGTACATAGCATTAGGGTTATCAATATTTTTTGGTCCTTAATTTGTTCCATATGATTTTGTTGCCGATAATCCGCCAGCACATTAACATACTCCACACGTTAATTAGAGTTTTTCTTAAGTTTCTTTACTAACAGATTTAATCTTTTAATTGCAATGTCTTTAGAGCTTCCGTATATACATTTCGGACTCAATTCCTTGAACGGTAATCGAACTACATAACACCCATCGTTATCTCTTACAGTAATTCTTTCAAATATCTCTTCACATCTGATCTCTTCTTTAGTTAGCTTTCTTCCAATTAAATCCGGTTCTCTTTCAATTTCCCAAAATTGTTTCAATAAACTATCTTCATTAACTTGTAAGTGAAGAATAGCGACTCTCGAATTTAATTCGTCTTGTTGGCTCATCTTTTTGGACAAAATCCATCCTAACTGAATGTTTTGTGTCACAGGCCCAACATCCGATGGATGTTTCATCAGACCATTCAATATTATTTGACTGTAGACTTCAACCTCTAAAATAATATCAATTTTACCAGGCGAATCATAATAAGGATCAGCCAACGATAAGTTATTAATATCAGGCCAGTTCAGAATGGAAGACTTACTCGATGGAAGAAATGAAGACAACGAAGATAAAATAAAAGCGTTCACTGAAATGGAAAAGTTAGGATTATTTATGTATTCTATCTCAAAATGAACAATATTTTTAGTATTTAGTTTACCGTCACCTACACCAGTTATTAAACCATTTACTGGTGTACGCTTAAGACATAAAGATTGAGCGATACTCTCTGTAACAAAAGAAGCTTCGGAACCCTGATCAATCAGAACCCGCGCTGTTTGAATGTAGCCATTAGTGGATCTAACCCTGACTAATGCCGTGGCTAATAACATCTTAACTTGATGCTCTTCTTTTACAAAATGAGCTACTACCTTTTTCTCATAATCTAAACTTTGCGGACTACTAATTACATTACCAGAAGATTGATCAGTACTTGTGAATGGCAACGGCGGCGCCGCGACAGCTTCTTGTGATGGAATTCTCTCTATATGTAGCAGTGTGTGATGACGCCTGCCACACCGACGACAGCACTTGGATTGATGGCATTTTCTCTAATTGTGGTTGGATGAAAAACAATTGGAACAAAGTCTCTTGGTATTAACAAACTCGGATCTCTCTTCCGGAGACTTGCTTGTAAATTGCTTACATTGGAATAATAAATGGGGATTCGAACACAATACGCATGCTTTATTTTGTTCTTTATTCTCTCTCTTATTCTCTTGTACAGTTGAATGAAATACTTTTTGTTGTGTGAATTGCTTAGTATATACGTTATATATTTCATGGGTTGTTTTGCCTCATAGATCATTTATAGGGTTCTAAATCTCGTTTCCAGAAATTGAACTAATTGGTTCCACGTTGGAAATTCATCAGTTGTAGAGCGACCAATTTCCGTTTCCCATTGTTTCCGCGTCTCATGATCTAATTTAGATACAACCAAGTAACTGATTATGATATCCCACGTCGCAATATCTGTACCTAAATTCTTCAGGGATTTTAAACAGGCGGACGTTGTATTAATCAATTGCTTTATGGCAGAGGCGGACTCGGATGAGATTGTTTTCTGTGAAAACAAACGCTTCATTACCTCATTAGAATTATATCTTTTGTTACTATAGCGACGTTTCAGTTTGTCCCATGCTTCATCATAGTTCATTTCTGTAGGAGACAACCTTTTCAATAACATTTCAGGTACCATATTAAACAAGCATTGCACATGCAAAATTGGTCAAATGTGATTTAATTTTAATTGTAAAATAGTATGATAACTTACAAAGCCGATTAAAATTCAAAAGCTAGATAGACTGAAATATATATCTGCTTAAATAGTGGTTACACGAGCTTGACCGTTATTTACCCGTAAACTTAAACACCCGAAGGGGTTGGCAACACCAAAAACTTATGATGCTTATGATGTATAAACATGAAATTCATCTGAACATTAACAGATAAAGTATTTATAACAGATATTATTGATTAGATAAGGGATGGACTTATGTCCATAGTAAGCTATAAAAAAATCCAATGGTACAACAATTATAAAACAACTAACTAGTCGCCTAAATCGTTCACAACACTCAAAAAAAAAATCATACCATAACAACGAATGTTTCGTTACGTCATGAATAAAAACCAAACAAATAAATAGATACATATTATAGGTATTCTTAATTAAAAATGCATAAGAAATCCACTTTGTCCCTGGCACTCTGAGATAAGACTCCAACCTTGAGCTGCCCAGGACTTGATACTTTTCATTAAGGATATTTTTCAGTAAAGCATTGTGAATGCAAAATGCAAAAGACATGGTTAATTCCTATTAGTATTTATTTAAAAGATTTAATTTCTAATCTAAGTCCACCTGTTTGATGTTGGCATGATAAAATTAACGGACAAACTAACTAAACATTCATTATTTATATCCGTATATATCAGTGAAAACTTAAAGGTAACCGAAATCATAAAAACGGGTTCTCTGATTTAATGTTTAGTTTCCGTGGGTTTTGGGATGTACATGCCAACTTTAATATAAATTATAAAGCAATAACTATAAAACTAAGCAAACTAAACATTCCACATCTAACCTCAAATAAGCCGATAAACCAAAAATTAACCTGGACATGAGCCTGAAACAGGAGAATTATTTTACATGTCGACTTCAGTAGAAAAATAATTACTAACTGAAAATAACGCTATTTATCATAACAAACCTAACTTAATTATTTCATAAATAAATGAAGAATTTCTAGTGAAATACCAACATTCATCACTACATGTTAAAAAACAAAGAACTTTCATACAAACGTTTCCTTTCCATTTAACCCTCTTTGCGGTGTAATTTCAAAAATACATTCTTAGTAGGTGTACAGCCATTGGTAGACTTGTAATTAAACGCTAATTTATAAAGAGAGTGTGCGGAAACAGTGCGCAGCTATTTAGTGCTTATGTTGCTAGTGTTAGGAACATCCCGACAGTACCTAGGTACTGTAAGTTGCCATAAGTCGCCATAGTACTTACCATCATATGAAGATAAATGCACCCTCCAAATTTCAAGCCTCGTCAATCAGCATATTAGGCGGCGGAATCGGCAAACGCAAAATTAGAAATCATGTTACCATTATACTACTAAGTTAAAAAAGTGCATGTTTCAAAATATTTTTATAATTAATAGAAAAATATCTCGTTACAGGTATTGGTCGTTACAACTTGAAGTATTGCATGAACATGACACTTTTTCTCAACGCCGCCATAATAGAGCCTCTGGGCTACTCGTACATACTGCCGGCAGCACGATGCGATCTGGATATGTCAGATACTCAGCGTGGTTTCATAGCTTCTGTTCCATATATTGGTAAGTATACTCTACTTTTATTAAAAATAAAAAGCTATCTGAACTTTGAACCATGGATATTATTAAAGTTCAAACGGGCCAGTACGTTTAAATGCCAATTTCATATTTAAACTCCTTATTACAATTATTGTATTTGATCACTTTTGCATTCACAATGCTATACTCGAAAATATTTTTCAAGAAGTCAGTTTAATTGCGCTACTAGTGAGCCGAAAGAAACATTTTTACAAATAATATTTTGTTTATTACAAATTTTCATAAATTACCATTAAAAGGTGTGTCGTTACTTATATTTCAATGACTATCTATATTCCAGGTATTGTTCTGACATCCTTTTTCTGGGGCTACCTTGTGGACACACGCGGTCGAAAGCCAATCCTTATAATAAGCTCTGTGATTGCTGGTATCCTGAGTATCCTGGCCGGCTTCATGCCGGAACTTATCAGTTTCACAGCCTGCAAATTCCTCGTCTCACTATGGTATTTATTATTATCTCATCTTATAGCATTAGGGATGATGACTAATTTTTGTTTGTTTGTCCGTCAGGTAGAGTGTTAAAACATATTAAACACGTATTTTTTTATTTTTTTCGTAATCATAAAATTACGGCGTTACATTGAGTTGAAATTTCGCATGACGTCACGTTAGAGTACGTTTTCTACTCAACTGTGACGTAACGAGCCCCCACTCCTCAACTTTAATGCCTGTTATCTAAGCTATTTCTTGTTAAATTGAAGTAAAAAGAAAATACGTATCTAATATTTTTCTATTATCTGACTGACGGACTAAATAGAATTGCATTTTTTATCCAGTCATCATCCCTATTATGTTATATACAAATAGGTACGTCTATGACGCTGTTACCGATTTGAAGATATAATAAAAAATGAAAACACACGTGAATTGTGTCCCTTTTTAGACAATCATATAAAGACAAACATATCAAGTAATTCTTTTGCTCTTAGTGTTGGTAAAATAATTTCTAGAAAAAATGAGTTAAATACATAATTTGATAGAAAACTTCAAACTTTATTGCATTGTAAAAACAATTTCATCTTTTTAAAATTGTTAATTAACCAGTCTTAACAGCATTGGTGCGATATTTATCAATTTGCACTGCATTACATATTTATCGATGTCTCATATCTACCACTTTTCCAGTGGATTTAATCTTTCGTCTACCTGATTTTTTTAAATTGATAATTTGATTTACTAACACCTGTTATAATTAATATAGTTATGTCTATTGAGTATAAAGTTTAATGGATTAAAACTAAATGCACAACCAGTCACAGGTAAACACATCATATATATAAAACAGAAGAATGTAACTATCTTAATGAATATTAATAATAAAAAATAAGAAACTCAAAGATAAAAACAATTAAAAATTACAAATAAAAAAAATACTTGAGTGATAAATATCACGTCGTTTTTCTGCATACACATCTAAATAATTGCTGGTTAAATTATAAAGTTTACAAATTCTGCAAATGGGTGAGTTCATACCAAATTTTGTTATATGTGACTTAGTAAATTTGGACCAAATCTACCCTAATAAGACCCAATCTATATCTACATTTGTCAAGCTCCATCACCTGAAACCGCTTATGTCTCTCTTTGTAGGAGAACCTTTTTGCCATTTGAATATGCTAAGTGCTTTGCGTTTAAAGATTTGACCTAATAAGTAATTGATGAAATGGAATATTAAAAAAGTACTTTGTTAGACAAGCTGTAAAGTAAGCTTTTGTAACAGGCAATTTTGGCAATTCGTCTACTACTTTTTAGATATTTAAGTTTTCAAAACTTGACTTACATTTCATTTCATCAACTTATTCAAGCTAGTTAAGATAAAAGATTACGCACAATCAATATTTGTAATTCTGCTAGTATTATTATAATCTATTTGCCATTTCGCGCGCTGTTGCTATTCAAATTTCGAATTAATCGCCGCGCGGCGCCAGTCAGTAGGCAGCGCTAGCGCGCTGTTAAAATGGCGGGAAAGCAACAGTGTACATTCACAGATTGAGTTTATTTAATGTTTTTTTTTTCTGTTTCCTCGCAAATGTGTTAAAGAAACGTCGTACGATATACGTGCGTATTGGTTATAACATGCGAAGCGGAATTTCAGCCCGAGCCAAAGGCGAGGGCGTAAATGAGCGATCATAACGCACTAATATCGTAATGTACTATTAATATGATGTGACGACAATAGAGTCGCCAACCGATAGCCAAGTTGATTATGAAGAATGAACTAAGAATGAATTCTAGGTAAATTCGAGAGCTTTTGATTTGTAGTACGAGCCTAACATCTACGGGAATTGTAATAACAACTGTACGAGGTCCAACTTGTAAAGTTACACGAGCTCTTGACTGTAAAATGTCATACATTTATTATTTATTTATTTACACTTCATTGTACAACACACTATAGATGTATATATATACATGAAAGTACAAACATCAAAATCTTCATCTTAACAGCGATTTGGAGGTTTGAATGTACACCACTTCTGCCACTTAAACTAAATTCATTCGAGCTTGGACGTACGGGAATGATCAATCGACCAAGTAAAGTCAATGACTTAGAATTTTAGTTGCTTCACATTAGGCAACTTTTTAGAATCTTACCCATGTGTGTCGATACACGTACCCAATTAGATTATGAATATGATAATTACAAATCTGTCGATAATAATGTTGCTTTGCCATTTTATCATATTGTTGTTTTAAATGAAGATTCGGTATACGATAACACATTCCGCCAAATTATATCATTGAATAATTGTTTCTTGTTTTAGAGGGTTCCATAAAACTCTTTTTTTTTGGTTTTTAATAAATTGATGTGAGATTCCATACACTTAAAGGACTTTTACCTTCATATTTTGGTAAACGCTTCACATTTTTATGGATCTTCCTACTGGCGATGGTGATTGAACGGAAAAAACCTTTCGAAATGGTACGAAAATGTCGCCGGCCACACACACTGTTGGTTGTATGCGAAATGTGAAAGAGGTGAAGGCGAGAAGACTGCATTAGCTATGTAGGCGAAATCATTCATTTGTTCTCCACTTGTTCTGGGGTTATTTGGAACCTTATATATCGAAAAGCAGCAAAAATGAGTAATTCAGTATCGCATAGAGCGCTTCGTCTGCGATACAGTTGTTAAGTAACTTTCACAATGGCTAGTTATAGCATGGGTGACCAAAACAATTATTATCTCGAGCTCCCCGCTTCGAAAGGCACGTTAATCCGTTGGTCCCGGCTGCATTTGCAGTAATTAATAGCCACTAATCTGCACTAGCTCACGTGGTGGAACATGGCCCATTCATTCTATTTGATCTGATTCAATCCCCATACATAGGCCTGAGTCTCAACGATGGGAACATCAAAAGGTTGGTAATGATGATAATATAAAAAAACAAGAATTTGTTTAATCACTGGTGTTTGGGCTTATCACATTATACCAGAAACAGGCCATCTATAAAATAGGTCATAAATTCTGATTTTTAACACCCCCTTTCATTGTCTTAAAAAAACGATTTCCCGTTTTGATCCAAGGCTATAATGGTCACATTATCCATGACCCATCACGGAGGTCAAGTGCGGATTGGTGGGTAAATCCCTTGACCTTCACATCGAATGCGCTAACCATCAACGAGCTACTAATGCGAATGTTATACATTTATTCTTTTCGGCTATCATTATGTTAACGTATTCACCTCTGACAGCATAGCCTGCCCCTCTGCGGCACCGTACTCGTTCATCGGGGAAATACTACCACAACAGTACCGAGACATCGCACTCTCTGTCACAAATTCCCTGCAGATGATGGGTGCAACATTCGTAGCTTGTAAGTTTACTGGGCTTGTTATAACGCTAGTAATAACTATATATAAGTTGGAGTATCTGGAATAACTAATGCAAAATTGAACCGTTTTAGATGCTCGAGGTATGATCCGTGTTTCGAAATTGCAAACTATTTGCATGTATAAAAAAAATAGCAAAAATGATACAGAAATTATTAAAAAAATATATCGCTGTGACAACTTTAACGTATTTTATACCCCCGTCGAATTAATTGCGAGTACTTAAAGACCATTCCGATTATGAGTATTAATGCTTGATGATTTCCATGGTTGAGTATTACTAATATTTATTTCTTTGTTTCTAGTATTAGCATGGGCAATTATACCAGTAGAGTTCGGACAAAACTTTGGCTTGTATGAGTTCCGATCATGGCGGTTGCTTTGCATGGTGTATGCATCAATCTTCATCTTGGCCGCAGGACTCTTATCCTTCGGGCCAGAGAGTCCAAAGTACCTCGTCTCCCAAGGAAAACATGATGAGGCTCTACAAGTACTGAGGACGATGTATGCGGCGAATAAAGGAAAATCGCCTGAAGATTTTCCTGTACGTACTTATCGGTTTATTAATCTTAACAATTGTCTTTCGCATAATACACAGAATTGATTTAAATCATTGAAACGTGAACTTACATTAGGCCATCGCTTACAGTGGAATACATAATATAAAACAAAGTCGTTTCCCGTTGTCTGTACGCTGAGATCTTTCAAACTACACAATGGATTTTAATTCCGTTTTCATCGATATACAAATGATTCAAGAAGAATGTTTATATTGTCAATACAAGATAACGCGGTGAAGGTAAAAAGAGCTAGTAGGTTATAAAACTTGGAGGCCTTTCCAGCTGCGGGCAACATCCGGCCGAGATGATAATAAAAGCTTCAAATACTTACATTCAAAACCAAGGCCATTGCCAGAATACATCTATTATAGTGTAAAGCTTGTTTGGCAGATAGAAGTATTGGACAAAGTTCAATAACGATAAATCAGTAGTTTCTGAGCAAATTGGCTATGATAGACGGACGGATAGATATACCACACGAGTAATATTACGACGGGTTTAATTTTCTTTTACTTAAGTAGGACGGAACTAAAATAAAACTGTAAAATATTAACAAACGTAATTGTGATTTTCAAAGATAACTTATAAAACTATGACATTCGTTTCTATTCTAAAGTTTACTTTCAGATAAAATCTCTGAAAATACCAGATGAACCAGAAAGAAGTAAAGTTAGTTTCTTGAAATCTTTAAGAGTTCAGAGTGTGCCGCTGATGACTCCACCTCTCGTCAAGTGGTTGCTGCTCAACGGATTTTTACTTTTTGGAATATTCAATGTGTAAGTTTAACATTTTTATTGAATTCACTTAAATTTGTAAGTATATACTATATCTAATTTGGCAGCACGGTATCACCTATTTTGCCTTTTTCCTTCACCAGTATAGAACCGGTAATGTCGCTTTAAATTAATGACAATTTTACCTAAAGGATATTTGTGCAACTGGATGTAAGTCGCTTTAAACTTATGACATTTTTTATGGACATTTGTGCAACTGGTTATATATGTTTCATAATGCTAATGTAAAGAGATAAGAGGCAAAGATTATTTGTCTACTTTCAGATTGAATGGTCTGTGGATGTGGGTACCCGACGTATTAAACAGAGTTCTATCTGACGGTGGCGAGGCGAGTATGACCGCGTGTGACATTATAGCGTTAGGACAGAACGCAGTGAGTATATTTTTATTGCAATCAACCACTTCGGTAACGAGTAGCTTGACTTTCGCAGTTAAACATTTATCGGATATGCGACCAAAATTTAATATTTGAAGCATTTCGGAATGTCACCAAAACCATTTGTCCTAGCAGCGTGCAATCTGGCTGATTGATTAGTTATTTCTATATTATACTAAACGAAAATATGCGAAATTAAATTTTGCTAAAATTAAAATAATAATGTAATCAATTATGCCATCCTAATATATCAATTATAATTTTGAGCAACAGACATCTAAGGCATGGGTATTCGTCAAAAGTCTATATTGTGATATACACTACGATTACTCACACAACACATGGAGTATTTTGGAAACAGATAGTGAATAAAAAGGTCTTCTTGATGCGACTTTGCCATCATCTAGGTTCGTCCACACTGCCTTGATATCAATATTTTATTTTGCAGACTGTACAAGAGGGCGAATGCAACGACACTATAAACACGATTACATATCAGATAAATGCTATAGCATCAGTTTGTGGTGCTCTCATAGCTTTAGCAGCGAGTATTGCAGTAAAGTGTATAGGGAAAAGGTGGTTGATTTTCGCAACATTCACAGTGATCGGTGTGTTTAATATCCTAATAAACGTGACCACCCAGCAGCTATTGTTCGCTGCGTTATTGTCGTCTCTGTTACTCTCCGCACTAGCTATTGGTCCCATCAACGCTTACAGTGTGGAACTATTTCCAACGAACTTGAGGTAAAGTATAAGCAAAGACGTAATTATAATTAGTACAATTAAAGTATACCATGTTATATTTTGTTTTAAGAATCTATGCAAATGGCCAGTGAACCTCTCCTGGACTGACGACTGACTAAACCAGTGGTTCTGCTGTTCAAAAACTCCTTGATTTCTAAAGTTTAGAGAAATAAATGTATCATCTATTCGTAACACGACAAATAATCTAGTGGGCATTTTCAGTAATATTTCCAATGTGCAGGGGAATTTGCCGGGGAATGGGAAATTTCCCCCAGTGGCAATTTTTCCAGATGTACATCACTAGGTGGAGTGGAACCGGAACTCTTGGACCTTAACAATTGTATAGAATATTATTAATGAAAAATGCTTTAATCTTTGTGCCTGTTACTTTGTTCCTAGTACCAGGGACATAACGAAGATTTTTCAGTATTGCATTGTCAATGCATAATTAATCAAATATAATAATCATAGAAGTCAGAATTTCTTTTAGCAGTGTCAAATGCTCTCCTACGCACTCCGTCGCCCGTAGGTGAAGATCATACTTATTTTAAAAAAGAAAGAAAACACAAATACTGGTAATTGTGTTGTGGTACCTGCGTTGTCTCAAATACTTCATAATACAAGGACTTTAGTTACTCATCTTGGAATCTGAGCAATGTATGTGACGTTGTCTAATATAGGCCTAAAGTTAGCCATATGTAATGACACATGTATCAAACCAGAAGTTCGGTTTCCGCGGAATCACTCCCTCCTGCCCTTATTCCAACGGTGCTATTCAGTAAAAGGAATCTGCATTGAACTCGACGTACAGCAAAGCGATCACAGAAAAAGTTTTAGTTCATTAAAACTCTATGCTGTGACAGCGCTTTCCTCGATGTCGAGTACATGACAGGTTTTAATTGAGAATAATATTGTTTTACGACATATAATATAATGTTTATATTGTGCATGAATGAAAATATATTTCCTCATTTATGTTTACAGAGGGATGGCGGTCAGTTTATCTATGATGATAGGAAGATCGGGCTCAATAGTCGGCGCCAACCTAACAGGAGTTATGATAAATTCGACATGCGAAGGAATGTTCTATATGTTCGGATCACTCATGTTGTGTAAGTATTACAAACTTGAAAACAATCAAGTTAAAGTCGAAATTACCTTAGAAGATTAGATAATCTTACAATAATACTTAACCTAGCAGCACCCAAAAAAAAAAATGTGTATTTAAATAAACTTAGTATATTTACGATGTATAAGAAAAATTTACGATATTCGCAGCGATGATGGTGGAACTAGAATTGAAAGTGAAAAAAGTATGTTCAAGGATATTTCCAGAATAAGATTCAAGGATATTCATTAGGGTCAAAAACCGAAAATTTACAATTTCTTGTCATTATTTATTGTCCTATTTTAACCTTATCTTCCCCTACTTTATGCGCAGTGTTGAGCTCATTTTAATATTTTACCGATATGATGACGCCACTGGCTTAATTTTCGCAAATGTTATGGCTTAGAATTTTTCTGGTGATAATTTTTTCAAGTTTTAAATGATCAACAAATCATCAAAATAGCCAAACACTTCACTAAAATATTGTTTTTGTTGCAGTTTGCGCTCTACTGTCATTTATACTACCAAGATCAAGATCTACAGTTCCTCCGAAAAAGGAAGAGTTTGTAACTAAATTATAATAGTCATAGACTTAATTTAGACTTTTTTACCTCAATTAGGTATGAAGAAATCGAGCATAGGTACGTGACATTTCTATTTCTCAAGTGAAATAGATCGTCGCGCTTTCTTGGAAGATTCCCGTAAAATAAAACTATTGAAATTTTTATTAAAACAGCTGATTATTTTTTATAGATACAGTAAAGATTTATTCCAAAGAAAATAAATAATTTGTTATTATTATTGGTAATTTTGCATATTCAATGTTATTTTTATATTTATCGAAATTATAAACAATGTTTTTTCGGCTATTTAGATATATTCTTTAAATATTGAAGACAATACTCATGCTTGTAGCGGATGGTAAGATGCACTTGATAAAGTCAGTCTCGTTAGTCTTCGGTAGCTCAGTTAGAAGAGCACTAGTCCAGACAGCAAAGGTAATTCTAGTCCAAACGTACCAGTACCCCTGAGATGGATTATGATGGACGATTACTCAAGTGTTTTTAAGAATGTAAGTAAGAAAGAATAAAGTATATCATATATGTCTAAAACTATCTCTTAACTTTAATCTTTTATTATTTAGAGAGAAAATTTATGAATGTAATATTGTGTAGCCGTGGTGTGCTGTTGAGAAATTATAATAGCAATTCTTTATAAAATTTTTGTGCTTGATATTAAACATTATATGTTAAAACATTGTATGTGTTACATAAAACGTTATGTAATAAAAAAACTGTTGATAATATTATTACCCTGTAACATTTTGATCACCAAAGAATTTTGTTAAACTACTAAGCGTCGTTTTCTTAATCATCAAATAAAATCATTTTGTATTCCGATCAACAGGAAATTTTGTGTATGTATGCCTATAATAAAGATTGTATCTGAAACACATTATTAAGTCTAGATCTAAAAAATGTTAATAAATTGTTTACTACTTTGCTCAAATAACACTTATAAATAGTTTTTTCTATTTCTTTTCTTTTACTCAAAAAAATAACTTTTCATTAAAAAATAGAACACAAAGTTGTGGGGTGCTACCACCTACTCTCTAGCTATACGATATTACATCTTAGCGATATTATGACGATATTTAATTTCATGTTCACATGACTTTTGGTAGATAAATTTACGATAAATAAGTCATTTATCCCAATACATAATCTAATCATCATCATTCTTTATCGTTAGTTCGTCATCACTAAAGTAAATTTCAAAGTAGTAAAGTAATACGAAATGTCGCGTAACCTATGGCTAGAGCGTTAGGTGGTCGCACCACTGAATGTACCTAGGTCATCAAAATGTTATAATGCAGAACAACAATTGGCTACTTATCCGTTTTGGGAAGGTATTTTAAAACACTATCAGATTTATTTTTCTCCAAAATTTAACAATCACGTGACATTTCGCGCCGTGGCGTCGCATTTCAATAAATATGAGTACTAATTGCACTCTCAACAAAGACGTTGACGTGTAGTTTATTGAAATGTGACGTCACTAGTGGTGAAACATATTTATTGCTGACTTACAGACTAATACATCCAACACACCAGCAAGTTAAACATAGCAATAAAAAGAAAATTAAAAAAAAACAATGTCAGTTTAGTTAATTTTCAATTACATTTAAAAGATGTCAATATCATAATAATAACAAAATTATAGAATAGTACGCATGTCATGAAAATAATAAACTAAAACAAATGTCATATAAATTAAAATAATTTGTCAAGAAAAAAATAATAATAACAGTCACAGATAATCAATTAATAATCAATTACACAGTCAATATTGGTTAAGAAATGTCGAGCACTTATAGCTAATCGAGTAATACCATCAAAAAATACATCACTTTTTTCATGTTGAGCAAGGATGTCACCAATGAGATGCAGTGCACGTATAGTAGGTGCCTGCGCAGCGTATACGGTACGCGTGCGGGGCGTGGATAACAGCCGCGGACGCCGTCGCGGCGCCACTAAACCCATATTGCTATTAGAGATGCGTACAGGCACAAAAAAACTGAATTTCTCTAATATGTGAGGACAGTCAACTTTGTTATAAAGTACAGAAAGGTAATGCAGAACTAGGAGTAATTTTCGCCGTAGCGCAAGGGTGTCAATGCCCACCATACCCGATACAAATAGCGAAGGATATAGAAAAGGGTAGTAGCCGTAAGCCTTTTTGTACAGCCAACGTGCAAACTTCCGCTGGACCTTTTCGATCATAAGGGAATATTTATTTTCATGGGGATCCCAAATGATTGCCCCATATTCGAGCTTACTACGTACGTAGGCATAATATAACACGCGGGCCACTAACAGATTGTTAAACTCATTTGAAGTCCTAATAATAAAACCTAAAAGTTTGTTTGCCGCTTTACAGATAGATGTTGCGTGTTTATGAAAGTCCAATTTCGTGTCCAATGTCAAGCCAAGATCCTTAATTTCATTAACCCTATCTAAAGTTTTGTCAAGTAATTTGTAGTCAACTATAATATTATGTCGTTTTCGCGAAAAAGTGATAATTTTACATTTAGATTCGTTGAATGGCATACGATTGATATAACTCCATTCTGCAACAGAATTTATGTCACGTTGCAAATCGTTCGTATTTTCCACTTTATCTACCCCGACAAATAATTTTAGATCATCTGCAAACAAGAGACATTGCGCCACTGTAACAGACTTCGGCAGGTCATTTATCATTAATAAAAAGAGAGTCGGACCCAAGGTACTTCCTTGACTTACTCCAGATCGTGTATAAAATTTTTCCGACTCAAATATACCCAACCGGACAAATTGACAACGGTCCTTGAGATAACTTGCGAAAAATCTTAGAAGTTTTGGGATGAAACCTGCCTTCGCCATTTTTTGTAGCAATATGTCGTTATCTACCAGGTCGAAAGCTTTTTTAAGGTCGAAGTACGCCGCATCCACTTGTCTTCCCGAGTCCATCTGTTCGTAAACGTAATCGGTAAGTGTTATTAAGTTAGTGGTGGTCGAACGCGCACTGCGGAAGCCGTGCTGACTATTATCTAAAAGGCTTCTGATTTGTTGACTAATGTAGGTGTTTAATATTGATTCAAACACCTTAGCAAAGACACATAAGACTGCAATTGGTCGGTAGGTCGTGACGTCCTGTCCAGGTTCTCCCTTAGGAATAGGCGTGACACAGGAAAGTTTCCATTGCTTTGGATATGTCGACTTTTGTAAAGAGAGATTGTAGATAAATAACAAGGGAACACTTAAAACCAATATACAGTCCTTAGCTAAAAACACAGGAATACCGTCAGGGCCACCAGCCGATTTCGACTTCAGACGTTTCACAGCACGCTTTAGATCCACCATGTCTAATGTTGGAATGGTAATGGTTTTCGCATCACCATCCGAATAACCTACATAAGCTGCCTCTTCTGGATTAAGACGTGGTGTCACATTTGAAAATACGGAACCAAAATACCGTGAAAACGCATCAGCAGCTGATTGCCCGACTACTACTTCCTCCTCAAATGTAAAAGAGTCAATAATACGTCTCTGTTTGCGCTTATCTTTTACGTATTCCCAAAACTTTACTGGTTCGTCAATTATATTAACCTGTATACTTTGTATATGCCGCCGATAGGCACTGTTGATTAACTTTTTAGTATGCCATCTATAATATTTAAACAGTTCTATGTTAAATAATTTACCCTCAGCTTTAAATTTTTTTAGGTGAAAGTGCTTAAATTTTATGTTGATTTTAATTTCTTCTGTGAACCACTTTGGATAAATATATTTTGTATTACGGCATATTCTATTTTTATATGGCACAAACAAGTCAATACATTGGTACAGCTTCGAATAAAATGCATCCAAGGCTAAGTCAACATGATTACAGTTCAGTACATCAGTCCAATCCAAATCAGTGATGGAATCGTACAGTGCCACAAAGTTTGCTTTGCGCCAGTTCCAGTTGAGATGGGTTTCAGGGCGTTCAATGTGTATGTGTGCAGACTGTGGCGGTGGAGCAAAACGATTATTTAAATTTATTGATATATCAAGGGTCGGGTGATATTTATCAATAGGTACAAAAGGCTCAATATTGAGAGACACCGATACCTCAGTGGAAACAACATTGCTCAACACACGATCCAACATAGAACCTTGATGGTTTAGAACATTGTTATGCTCTACTAATTTGCAGAATTCACAAAAATGTTCAAATTCTGTTTTAATATTAGCGCTAAATGAATTCAAATTAAAATCACCAAGTACAAGAACTTGTAAATCAGAATAACTACATATTACATTCTCCATGCATGATAAAATATTTAGGTACTGTTCGTCACTATAACTAGGTGGTATATATACTAAGCAACATAAAAACTTTACAAATTTGTTTTTTATAACAGCAAATAACAACTCCTTGTCCGCCGTTAAGTCATCGATATTACTAATAACATTAACCGAATAGCATTCTCGTATTGCTATCAGGACACCTCCCCACCCTTTGTCACCTATACGATCCTTACGAACTACAAAGTAACCCGCGGGAAATAGTTCACCATCGCATACGGAACTTGTTAAAAACGTTTCTGTTAAAGCAATAACATCATATTGACTTTGACAAACATTGTTATAAAACATGGAGGTTTTAGAGCGCAACCCACGTACGTTCTGATAGTAACAATTTAACTTTTTAGATTGTTGACAATTTTTATATTTTTTCTTGTTTGGAACGAAAGTTCTGACGCCACGGTTTTAACAGAATGTCTTTAGGCCAATTAGTAGGGGAAATAATTTTGTCAGCTAGCTTGATAGGTACTCCCAACTTGAAAGAAGCGTAATTGCCGCGAGCTTTTAGTGTTTCCACGGAACATACATTCTCTTCACATAGCGTCGCTAAATGAGCACGCACCTGTTCCTCTGTAGTCCCGACTTGAACATAATAGAGATGAAGAAAACGCATTCTTTCTGCTGCCCGCAGTATAGTGGTTTCAGGATTAGCAGTACCACGCAGTAATCCCGGTATTGGCGTTCGAACTCGCCTCCGTTTGACTTCCGTCCATTCTTGTCTATCCAAGCTATAATTTTGGTTTTGAGATATTTCGGTGACACTAGGATCAGATATGGCATTAATATTAGTCACTGGCTCTTTATTACGAACATTTGATACCAATTTATCCACACTTTGATCATTAGATAAACACCCGTTGGTCGGACTAAAAGGTATACGATTCTGTAAAGATGGTTTCTTTTTAGTGTCATGCTTTTTTATTCGATTGTTACTTTTAGTTTTGGCCTCAATTAATGTATTTTCGAATACTTTTTTTGATGTTGTTAGTGGAGACTGCGGTATTGGTATGGGTATTTGTATTTTACTCTGTATGTCTCCATCAAGAATAGAGGATTGCATAGATGTCAATGTTATTAGAACAGATCCATCTACTAGGTATTTACAATACTAGGAAGCCACTGTTATAATTTCCTAAATACTTTATCGAGCTAGTATTTCTATAAGTTACACGATTTGCGACACTAAGTTAAAGATCTAGAGGTCACAAACACATGCACGTGTCATGCTCACCTATTAGTTTTCTCCATTTCAAAATTTTCGACTTTAATCTAGATACTAGTAATACTAGGTGAGGTGAGGCATATTTACTAGAACAGATCGACATATTAAGTACTCGTATTACAATACTATTATTGTAATACGAGTACTTAATATGTCTATATCCACGAAGTATTTCTTTAAATCGCACGATTTTCAGCCCTACACTTAAACATAATATCATACGCGGCTGATATAGGCTATAGTTTACGCAGGCGAATCGTGGCAAAAGGGCCATAATTATATGAAAAGCGTTGATTTCGATATAATTTTATTGTTACATTGACAATTCATTACGTATACTTACTTAACTTATAAGTTCATAGTAGTTATTAAAAAGTAGTATTGTAAAAGTATTATAATGATAATGTAGCATAGAAAAATAATGATAATGGGCTTTATATTAGCGGTTAAAGTGTGAAACTGCCGTTTTATTGCAATAGGTTCCTTGAATTGACATAGAATCTTCATGGTTTGAGGTTTCCGAAATAAACTTTTTTCACATGATTTCTATAATGTTCTTCTTTTAAAAATTAGATTGAAACATTTGAATATCGACTTTCAATTGTTTTTGTTATTTTACTTAGACAAGAAAGATGGATACTGAGAAAATTTGAGTTATTTTTGAATACGAGTTCCGACGCGGAAGTAACTATAGATGTTGCGTTTGGAGAGGGGTCTGCTAATTAACGCACCAGAAACCGTTTTGACCCTTCAAGAACTGCAGTTAGAAACCATTCGTCATCCTCCGTATTCGCCAGACCTTGCTCCAACGGACAACCATTTTTTTTACATGACATTACATGACAAGAAGTTTTCTTTCCAGGAGACAGTACAAAATGCTTTCACACAGTTTGTACAGTCTAGATTCTCAGAGTTCTATCGCAAAGGCATAAATGACCTTCCTATTAGATGGCAGCAATGTATAGATAATAACGGTAACTATTCTGATTTAATAAATTTGTTAAAAATAAAAAAATATAAATTTTTGTTTTCAGTACAAACCGGCAATTTCATATTTTAACCCCTATTACATTACCAGTGTTGCCCTCACCACGCATGTCACTTGGATGCAGAGACATACCTACATGTAAACCAGCGTCCCAACAATTCTTGTTGAAAACTTTTTTCTATCCACAGGTTGTGTTTCGTTTATAAAGATCTCAGCTTTATGACTACGAGAAACAAAAAAAGAAACAAACGAAAAAAAGGACTAACATTAAATTGTTTCTAAACATTATCAAAAATAACAAAAGTATCAGTGAACACATTTTTCATTCGCACTTTATTTTAACTTGAACAACGGAATAGATATAGATGTTGCAATAATGTTCAAAGATCAGCCCCCTTACTCCCAAACTCAATCGCGATCGGCACAATTGCAATGGCAATTGCAATGGTACCGTTTCGTACTCTTGATTGAGTACACTAGCGCCAGAGTACGCTGGTGAATCAATTAAGAGTGCGGAGCGGCACCGCGACTGTGTTCGAAAGTAAAGGGCTGATGAAAGATGACCAAAGATCCACTAAAGTCCAATATAAGCATTCTCGATGAATCTTACAAAATTTTTATCTACATTTATACTCATTATCACTAAAACATAATCACTGCAAATACGTCAGAGAATAGTTAACGTGAACACACTCCAAGTCTATTACCCCAAGTTGTTCATGCTCAGATATTAACAGCATTCAAACCGAGCAACACGTGCCGAACTGAATTGTTGCTATCTTTAATTATTATGGGCTTCTCGATTACACTGCACCGGCGATAATTAACATAAATTACTTTTACTGTTTTAGAACAAAAAATATATATTTTCTTAATTTTGAAATTTAAAAAAAATATGGGTTTATTATCTTTGTAAAGTGATCTGATAGTTACAGTCTAGAATAGTTTTTACATTTTTAAATTTTGTGTAATCCGTTTTGATTGTAAACAATGGCCGATAAAATTGATTCTGTGTCTAAAAAAGTGGATGAAAACGACAAATATGAAGCTGATCTGGAACAAGCTCTATCAGTAGTTGGTAAGAATAATAAAGTTTTTTTTTTTTTGTTTCATTTTTAACCGGCGAAACAAGAAGGAATTTCTCTAGTCGCATAATTTCCCATTCATTTTCGCTTCGCTTTGAAACTGTTTGATCGATTCCGATATGACTTTATCCTCCCATAGAGTTTCATCAAAACCGTATTATAAATTGTAGGTAACTTTATAATAACTTGAAAGTAGTGATATGCCAAAAATTTACGCATTTTTTCGTAAACGTTTTAATACTAGAACGAATTATTAGGTTTCATCTAAAAATATTACAGAAAAATAATCAAACCTTTCATTCAGAATAAAATGTTAATAAAAATAGTATTGCCCATTGAACTAATAAATCTTCAACTGAAGAGCTTATGTCAATTTGACTATGATTTAACAAACAGATTTAAGAACGAGAGTTTCTTACAAAAAAAACTATTTTATTATTTTTATTATCTTTCTTTTGATATAACAATTCGTTAAGTTTTCTTCAAACACTTTCTATAGTAAACCTTTGAAATAAATTTTGAAAATCCGTCTATGATTCATGTAAGTTTAATACTTCTTATACATATAAAAATACCGATATCACTAAAAAGCATGAACAACAATTTTCCATAAAAAAAACGAATTTAAAAAAGTGTTAATAATACTTATCCCTAAAGTAAATCATTTAAGAAATATTATTGAAGTTGGGCGAAGGTCTCCGGGTAGGTTTATTAATTAAACTAGCTTTTGCCCGCGACTTCGCACGCTTGATATACTTTGGTCAGCAAAAACGCTAAAACTTATATTTTTTATTATATCGTGTAAAATACCTAGATATAAAGTTCCATGATTTTATCTGTGACAATAAGGAACTTCCATACAAACTTTATTTCCCTATGTCAAACCTTTTATCACAATAAAAAGCAACCAATATCCTGTGTCTTAAAGACAAGAGTAGACACAGATCTACTTTCGCATGTGAAATATTTAACATGGAATGATAAAACGATTCTCTTTTCTCTTTTTACATCATATCACAACATATTACCAGACATTTACCTAAATAAATAGACTAAGAATCCTATTATCCTATTATTTTTCCTATTAATATTAAAGATGTGAAAGTTTCTTTGTTTGGATGTTTGTCCGTCAATCATGCCGAAACTACTGAACGGATTTTGATGAAATTTGGTATACAGATAGGGTATTAGCTGACTTAGATAATAGGATACTTTTTATCCCACTAAACATTTCCCTAGGGTCCACGCGGGCGAAACCGCTGGCGAAAGCTAGTAATATATACTACAATTGCTTATCGGTTCTTAAACACACAGCTCTTTTATTTCGATTTTATATTGAAGGGTCCATCCGATATGTGTGAGTGAAGTAATGAAAAAAGAAACATTCTGTCGTAGGGAGCTTCGATGGCACAGTGGTTAGCGTGCTTGGTCTGCGATACGGTTATTAGGCATCTTTTCCAATGGCCAGTCATAGGATGGGTGACCAAAATTCATTACCCGAACTCTTCCGTACTTCGGAAAAAAGGTTTTTAAAGCTTGATTTCGGTTCTATTTTTTTTAAGTCTTTATCATGAACATTAAATTAAATTTATCAAAACGTCACTGTAGGTACTTTAATAGAGGTCAGACTAAAAACGTATACAAATAGACGATATATATTAGCGATATCTTAAAAAAGCCATTAACATAAACAATAATAAACTGCTAATGAAATAATATTACTATTAAGAGAGCATTTTAAACTATAGAGATTAAATTTTAACCAACTTTAAAATCTAAATGTATGGTTTTCAGGATTTTCTTTGACTTTGTATTATAAAATGATATTAACTGGGAACGGGAGGTAGAGGAGTGCTGGTAGGCGCGGATGACATACCAACTAAACGAGTTGGTATGTCATCCGCGTTTTGACTAGCATTCGAGTGTGTCCGTGTGGACGGAGTGCCCCACATAGCCCCTGCCACCTTTTAAGCGGCGAAGACAGTGCATAAAGCATTCCCCTACTAAAAAATAGAAAGGCCACAGTAGACCCGGGTATAGGTCGGCCAGATTTGAGGCTTTAAAATATTTTATGTTCACTGACAAGATCCAATAGATGTAAGCAATAAGAAAATATATAATTTAAGTAAAAAAGTGTCCACTAGTACTACATGGCCTAGAGTGACCAAGCCTGCAAATCCGCCTATTGTTTTGACAGATTAGGGTTTCACTTTTGGTTTCAAAGTCCGTATTCCAAAAGGACAAAAATGGAACCTATATCTTTTGTTCCATAACAATAGCAAGAAATAAATAATACTCATTTTAAATGCGGTTCATATATTCGCAAAACTTATTGAAATTGGGCGGTTAATTTTTATTAATGTAACAACTTTCGCCTAACTTAAACAGATTTTTTTAAACCGAACCGGTTTCACGATATAAATAGAGATATTTCCTTGGCGATTTCATTTTTTCTGTGTTCCTATGCCTATATATACCTATGCTTTTCAAGTCAACAGAATACCTATATATTATTTTTTATGAGAGAAATATATTTTTGTTTATTTTAATACAACAAATGCGAAATTCCTATTTTTACCCATTTCTGTTGTTATCGTTGTAAAAGAAAAGGTCTCGCAACAGGTATTGGTCGTTACAACTTGAAGTATTGCTTGAACCTGGCTCTTTTCCTCGTCGCCGTCATTGTAGAATCAGTGGGATACTCGTACGTACTGCCAGCAGCACGATGCGACCTGGACATGTCAGATGCTCAGCGCGGTTTTATATCTTCTATTCCTTATATAGGTAAGTATTATGATTACTTATATCTTGAAAAGTTTGTAGGCGCAATGGTTAGCAACTTTCGCAAGGATGACCAAAAAACGCCTTCCGAAGCACAAAAAAATGCCTTCCGAAGAATTTTTAGGCGATAAGCCGTTCATTGGTGCCGGCTGCATTTGCAGTCGTTAATACTCTCCAAGCATTGGGCCAACATCGAAGGTCATGGCTTATCCTCCTTAAACATCCATAAGGAAGGCCTGAGCCCCTGCAGTGATGTAAAAAGGCGATTTTGCTTGCTTAAATTTTAAACTATATCTCCTGTGTATGTTATAGATACCCGTAGATGAAAGAATTTTAAAATTGGTCCAGTAATTTAGAGTATATATATTATTTACTCTTTATAATATTAGTATAGGGAAGTTACGGACTGCAGCTTTAATAATAATAAATATAATATAATACAGTTGTTCCAATTGAGTTTCTGGTGTGAGACTAATTACTTATATTACTGATGAGCGGCCTCCCCTTTAATATTTTACTTCACTTTTATTATATCAAACGACATTTAATCGCTCTTCTAATGTCACTAAATACTAACCTCTACACTTGATTTTAAACCTTAATTAATTGAATGTAGAGTTCTAAATTTGTTATTCTATGGTAACTTCATGTGATGTTGAATTTACATTACAATAGAAATGATAATAACTGGTATTATGATAATGATAATGTTAGAATCTCGTTTTTATTATATTGTTATGAAGAGAGTAAATCGCTTATTTGCACCACGCGTGACTAATTATGTAGCCATTTTGTTTGGTAAGGCATAGACTATAAGGGAAAATAATAAACCCAGAATATCAACAAAGAGTTCTAAAAAAGTTTTCATGCGGCTACTAATCACATCGCACGATTAATTTAATTTTATTTCGTGCTTTTAGCCAGCCTTTTGTTTTAGATGGTTTCATGATAGGCACCCAGTTGCATAACCGTACATTAAAATTTCCATTAGTTTGAAAGCGGCATTACCCATACAAATTTGACATTCATTAGAGCTTTACGCCGTCATTAAACCTTAATGGACGTTTGTGCAACTGAACGAGGTACTGTTTGTTTTCCATTACTATAACAGGTGAAATTGCCGCTTCGCACTTAAAATTGTTTTTTATAGAATAAACTATCTTTATTTAGTAAAGTATTATACCTCCGATAGCAATAGGTTACAAACAATCTTATGGTGATCAACTGTGTGACTGTTCTCATTTCAGGTATTGTTCTGACGTCCTTTCCCTGGGGCTACCTTGTGGACACACGCGGTAGAAAGCCGATTCTTATATTAAGCTCTCTGAGTTCCGGCATCCTGAGTATCCTGGCTGGCTTCATGCCGGAACTTATCAGTTTCACAGCCTGCAAATTTATCGCCTCCTTATGGTATTTATAATTAATATCATACTTAATTGTCTTCAAAACAATACAAAACGAGGGCGATATTGACCGTGACGTGAGGAATAGAAATAAATGCGGGATGGATGAAATGGCGAGAGGTCTCAGGAACGATATGCGATCCACGAATGCCCCTTAAACTTAAGGGGAAAATCTATAAAACGATCGTAAGACCTGTCGTACTGTATGGTTCTGAATGTTGGGCTACAAAAGGGACGGATGAAAGGCGAGTACATGTGGCAGAGATGCGAATGTTGAGATGGATGTGTGGAGTGACGCGAATGGACAAGATTAAGAATGAGTACGTAAGAGGAAGCCTGAAAGTTGCACCTGTGACGGAGAAAATGAGGAGTAATCGACTAGCGTGGTATGGGCATGTTATGAGAAGGGACGAAAGTCATGTTACGAAAAGAGTGATGGGTATGCATGTGGATGGATATGTGAGTAGAGGCAGACCGAAGAAAAGATGGATCGACTGTGTGAAAGAGGATATGAATAAGAAAGGTGTGGATGTGAGGCTGACGTCTGACAGAGAAGAATGGAAGAAGAAAACATGTTGTGCCGACCCCACGTAACGTGGGATAATGGGCAGGAGGATGATGATGACTTAATTGTCTTCAAAAATATCTAATTTTATATTTATTTGTTTAGTACTAGTAGGTAAATATACTGGCGTTATAGAATTGACTCGTAATTATCATCAAAATGATTGCGGCATTGTATAGGCCTCTCCTATTCAGGCTCAAAGTGGAGAGCGTGAGTACGGTAAGTAAAAAAATCGAGTACATGACAATAGTCAAGAATTCGCTAAACAGTAACCAAAAACAAGTTTTTTTTTGTTCGAGCTGTTAGGTTGATGAGTAAGATAGCCATAGCTTAGAAAAACAATGTAGAATTGAGTAAGCACGTTATACTTTCATGAAACTGGAAATAGTAATTTTACAATGGGAAACTACATTTGCCATTACAACAGTCAGTTAAGATAAAATACGATATCGCACAAACAAATATTTAAATAAAATTTTCTAAGCGAGTACCTAATATATAAAATAATCCTTCACCATACGTTTGATAATCCGTGTTTATGATTTTTACAAGTTTCACGATGAATTAAGTTTCCTAGTCGTTTAATAACGTTATATATATTAGCCTGGCTACGATAAAGATACATATAACACCCGACCCAAGAGCTGTGGCGGTCTATCCCCATTAGGCCCGGTTCAGTATTTCCCACGCCTACAGGCTGTACTTATTTGTCTACGGGGCCAAATTCCAATTCCAACAAATCGTAAGTTCGGGTTGGCCCCGAACTTACAATAAATCGTAAGTTCGGGGCCAACCCGAACTTACGATTTGTTGGAATTCCCAAGATATTCCTGAAATTAAATGAGCAACGAAAATTCCACGAAATCACATTCATCGTTGAATATTTCAATCGGTCAATCGCTCTGTTACATCCATAGTTTTTTATTAAACTTTATTTGAGGTTTAGCTCCCCGGACCATTTGCTACTCAGTCGAGAAACTTTGGTATTATAAATAGAAAACAAACCAAAAGCTGTGGGTAAATACAATACAAATCAAATCAAATAGTAAAGGCCCTTGGTCCTAGTATAAACACGCTGCTGTGTGGGATTCCATATACAAAAAGAAATAATGTCTAAATCTAAGATATAAATGTAATACAGATCACTTAGAATCCTAGCTTCATTAGATCACAGGAATAATTTTGTACATTAATTCATATCTCAGAATTGGACTTTATCTTCTTTTGTTTACATGGTAGGTATCTATTAACAAAGTAGATAGTGTTTATAATCTTATGAATGAGTATCATCACGTCTCACAGTTATCAAGATATATTTTTATAAATAGGAATAATATACTAAGAAATATATCTTATGACATTGATAATATTTATTTATTTACTAGCTGTTTTCCCGCGACTTCAGATGCTTATATAAGAGCCTGTGTCACACGCGTATGATGTAACTTATCGTAGGTGAAATAATTTTAAAAAACCTATTACGTGCAAATAAATAAACCATCGCACAATCAAATCTTTGCTCTATATAATTAGTACTTATAAATTAAAAAGCAAGTAACAATGATAAAATTTAAACTGCTTTAATGATTTAAGAAATTTGATGAGCAATTAATAATGCCTTGGAGGAACGCAAACGAATGTATAATCTTCTAAAAGATAACATAGGACTATTTATTAAAAACCAGCTTTCGCCAGCGGCTTCGCCCACGTCTTCCCTAGGCAAAAGGTTTAGTGGGATTAAAAGTATCATATTATCCAAGTCAGCTAATACACTATCTGTATACAAAATTTCATTAAAATCCGTTCATTAGTTTCGGCGTGATTGACGGACAAACATCCAAACAAAGAAACTTTCACATTTATAATATTAATAGGATGTTTTTGAGGGTTACTCATTCTATGCTTGAATTCTTCAATTACTTCATAATTATTATATAGTAGGATGAATTTTCGTTTAGAGTTGTGGTTTGTATTTGTTGTGGACACAAATTATATCCAAAACGACGCGTACACACCGTTCTCTTTGCTAACATTTTACGCCTTGAACTTGATCTTATCTTTACTATTTTAAATATCATTTTCATACTTATGCCAAAATATCTTTTTTGGATTTCAGTTTCAAAGACAAAAACACCCATTGAAGTCGACGGATTAATAGTAATGTAGTGAATGTTATCTACATAGTTAGATACTTTCTATATTTGTAGTGTTCAAGAATCGCACGAAAAAATATTTTCTTAATATTTAATAAGACGATCTACTAATAATGCGTCGCACAACTCTAATATTCAAATAAAGTTACCTATGTTTATTTCCTATCTTATTTATGAATCCGAAGATTTCGATGTGTAGGACTTTGGTATCATCTGTAATTCATTAGAAGTGGTTTTTATATTTCTTTGGATGATCCATTATCATCATAAACCCTTTGATGTTCCCAGGAGTTAATGAGGATGGGTCATGCATGACCCTCCACGCTGGCCCAGTGTGGATTGAATTATTAACCACAGTAAATGCAGCCGAGACCAACAGCGTAACATGCTCTCTGAAGCTTCTGTTCGAGATAAACATTTTTTGGTCACCCATCCCGTAACTGCCCCTTGCGAAAGTTGCTTAACAAAAACGATCGCGATCTACGCCGGTTATGCACTACACTATCGAGCTACTTGGTTGATTCAATTATTACTCAACTGTAAAAACGAAATTTTCTCGCAATCAAATGAAAACATAACAATGAATAGCAGATAGTAATAATATAAATATCATCTTGTATTGTCGGCTTTAGATAAAAAATAATTCTGTTAAGTGGAACAATTCACTTCACTTTGTCGGATATGATCCCAGATAATTTATTATTGACTGGAAAATCCTTTGGAAACCTACGCCGAAAAGTTAGCAGATTTGACTTAGGCTGAGACCGCACTGTACTTAAACTCACGCAGCTTACGTATAACCATGGAGAAAGTAATATGTTATAGCTAAAAAACACAATATTGCGGCTCTCGTTTTTAGTCTGCTAATGTTTGTACTTGAAAATAGGCGTCCATTTGAATGGCGCCATTTAATTACATGGCTAGCCGCCCAATTGAACGGCTGTTTAAACCAGTTGGTTGCGACATATATTTATGCTATACGGTGGGCAGCGGCAACGTGCCGTAGTGCTATAGGTTTCTATAGTTATTTCTTAATCTATCGTTCATTATCTTAACGTGTTCACCTCTGTCAGCATAGCCTGCCCCGCCGCGGCGCCGTACTCGTTCATTGGGGAGATACTACCACAACAGTACCGAGACTTCGCACTGTCTGTCACCAATTCCATGCAGATCATGGGATCGGCAGTAGTACCATGTAAGTTTACTTAGCTTGTTATATGACTAGTAATAACTTAATTAGTTTGAGTGTCTAGAATACCAGTAATACCAAACTACCAATTAGAAACATAGTTAAAAAATAACCCATAACCTGTCTGCTAAAAAATAACCCATAATGTAGCGGGGACAGGATACTCCAGTCCACAATGGAATACTTAAATTTGCTGCTTCAATTCGAGTTTATTAAATGTAAACTACTTAGATACCTACATTGCTTTAATACCCTCTGTAAGCAAAGCACTTATGTAAAAACTAGGTAGGTACTCTAATATCTTAATCTAATGATGGAAACGGGTGGCGCAATGAAAAATTGGTAGAATTCCTCAGTATTGATTTTATTTGCAATTTGCATAACATTAAATCACTTATCAGTCATTTATCACTTAAACTGTAATAATTCAAAATATTAACGGCCAGCATTGACCATAAACCATCGAAGAGTAAACCTACCTATAGTAGGTTTACTCTTCGATGGTTAGGTGGGGTACAGTGTGACAAAAAAGATAAATCGTACTATAAATCTGAAAATATTTATTAAAGGAACTTTCTATTAGTCTTAAAATAATCAACAGTTCTTAAACTATCATTTGTCAACGAAAAACAATACCAAAAATAACTAGAAATATTTTTTAATTGCACATTTTTGAGATCTGTCGATTGTCACAGACTACCCCGGATCTGGGGTACAATGTGACATCGTGTGAGGTACATGGTGTCCTTTGTGACATTATTTATTATATTTAAGTAGCTTACATTGCTTATATGTAAGTAGCTTACATCGTAAGAATCATCTTCATTGCTTTTCAAGAGTTGTGACATTGTCACATAGTGCCCCGTCACACTGTACCCCATAGGCTCCAAAAAAACAATGATTGTTTGTTTAGAAAATAATTTGTAGGTTACGATACCGGCAAACTAACTACGCGTATTTATCTACAAATACATGACTTTTCAAGAAAAAAACCATTTACTTACATAAGTACATCAATCAACACCTTAGAACGAAAACAATACAGGCACTTTATAAGAAAAAAATAGGCCAAAAACACTTCTTTCGTTAAATTTATGCAGCGTACAAATAAGAATCCAATTGACAAGTGCTCCAAGGTGGCATCTGATGCGCTTGTCTGAAATGTGTCTAAGCGATAACGATATGGTAAAAAGAGACGGAGATATTGAGAGTGTCAAACTGTTCCCCTTGTCACACCATACCCTAATGTGCACGGATGTTCCAATACCAAAAAAGCATGTTATAACTTAATAAATACAACAGTGGTTATCTTTTGTTTTAAATGAATTCAAATTAAATATAATAAATTTGTATTATGAAATCGACGTAATTATACGCGAACTTTTTAGTAGGCAACTTCTTCGCTGTTTCGGATTTTCAATACATAACGCTTTAAGTACTTAATTTGGAATCAATCATATAGGTATAATATGATATTGAGTTGTGAGACTTCTTTATTTATTTCTAGTGTTAGCGTGGGCGATTCTCCCAGAAGAGTTCAGACTTAACTTTGGCACGTACGAGTTCCGATCATGGCGGTTGCTTTGCGTGGTGTACGCGTTATTGCTCATCTTGGCCGCTGGACTCTTATCCTTCGGACCAGAAAGTCCAAAGTTCCTTGTCTCTCAAGGAAAACATGATGAGGCTCTAGAAGTTTTGAGGACAATGTATGCGGCGAATAAAGGAAAATCGCGTGATGATTTTCCGGTACGTGTCAGTTTGTTAAACAGCAACATTTGAATGTGTCACTGTGAGGTGACAGGTTGTAAAGAACTTTTTACATTTTGTACAATTCATTAACATTTTTTTACAATATTGTTGTAATTTTTAACAATTGTCTTTTCCAGTTAAAACATTCATGGGAATATATATAATCCAAATAATTAATACAGGCGGTATTTCTACCATTCAACAATTGCATTATCTTGTTTTAGTTTTAAGTATTAAATAATATAATATTGCATATTTTAGGATTGAGTAAAAGATTATTACAAAAGAAATCATACAAAGCCTTAGCGCATTATTAATGTTGGCGAAAAGTAGGGAAAAATAGGGAAACCAGTTCAAACACTTAGAAAAAAAAAAGATAAAGAGAAAAATAAGATTGGTCCCAAAATTGAGCCCTGTGGAACGCCGCACCTGATACTAATAACCCTAGATCTAGTTACTTTTTCATAGAAATATTTAACTATGGACTTGATTTCCATATTCTACTGCCCATTTTCTAGATATAATTGGACTCTTCAAATACTTTATCCACGCCCTAAAGTCATAATGTATGAAGACCTTCATTCAAAACCAGACCTTTAGCTAGGATATTGAGTCTTCTTTACTATTGCACACTCGACAGACGATCCATCGCGCACTAACGCATACTTCTGTGAGATATTCTTAACGGATTTTCCATCAGATTTAAAGATTGTCAAATGTAAGAGCAAGTATTCTAATTTGAATACTTTATTTATTATAAGGATATTGTTTTGAAATCTAAGTTTTTTTCCTTTAAGTACTTGTATACATTATACGTGCTCTTATTATTTAAACTATCACACATTTTCTGGTTAGTGAAAACTAATACATATAACTATGACCATCGACGATTCTAAAGTTTATTTCCAGATAAAGGCTCTCAAATTACCTGAAGAACCTGAAAGAAGTAAATTTCGCTTCTTTAAATCTTTAAGAGATCAGAGTGTGCCGCTAATGAAGCCACCTCTAGTCAAGTGGATGCTGCTCAACGGATTTTTACTTTTCGGAACATTTAATGTGTAAGTAAAAAATGTATTATTAAAAAAATATTAGTAAAATATGAATATTTTCAAGTCAAAAGTGTCTGAGGTATTGATTTCCATGGTTGGAACTCCTCAGAACAAGAAGGACTGGATGTCAGAGGAGGTATGGTCCAACATCCAAATGCGGAAAGAGCTCAAGAAAAGTGAAAAAACGACAGATCTTGAGGAAGAATACCTTAACCTAAACAGAAAAATACAAAGACTGTGCAGACGAGACAAAAACCGATTCTTGGAAGAGATCTGTGTCGAAATCGAAAGCCATGCAGAAAAATTTCAAACTGCTGATCTGTTTAGGAAGGTTAAACAAATAACCAGTTAACAGTGGGTGATTGACGACGAACATGGCAACCCGATACATGAAGTCGCAGGAATTGCGGAAAGATGGAGAAACTACTGTGAAGAGCTGTATCACGATCAAGCGTCTCAATCCTCCCAAGCGCAGGTGTGCTAGAGCCAGAACCGAGCATACTTCGTTCGGAGGTTGAAGAGGTGGTAAGAGTAAGTTAAAGAAGAATAAGGCACCGGGTTCGGATCTCATCACGGCGGAAATCATAAAAGGTTTAGGCCCGAATGGAATAACTTGCTTACATAAAATCTGTAATGCGATATGGGAATCCGGTGTTTGGCCTTCAGATTGGGTCCACTCTTCCATCCTTCCTCTTCACAAAAAAGGCTCGGTACACAAATGAGATAACTACAGGACAATAGCTCTTATATCCCACGCTAACAAAATCCTACTTAACATTATCAACTCGAGACTGCCCTCTTTTCTGGACTGGCAAATTCCACAGGAACAAGCAGGATTTGTCAAGGGAAGAGGTACCAGAGAGCAGATACTGAACCTTCGCCTGATAGTAGAGAAATGCCATGAGTACAACACACCTACATACATGTGTTTCGTTGACTACCAGAAGGCTTTCGACTGTGTGAGGTGGAATAAGCTTTGGGAGGTGCTTACTGAAATGGGCGTCCCCGCTCACCTTGTAATGCTGATTCGCAACCTCTATGAATCTGGTACTGTGACCACGGGATGCGTTACTTGTAGCCGTTTCAAGTTCCAAAAGGGAGTGAGACAGGGTTGTGTGATTTCACCAATCCTATTTAATATTTATGGTGAGTCTATAATGCGCCAGACGCTCGAGGGCTGGAGGGGTGAAGTCAAGATAGGTGGAGTTAATATCTCCAACCTCCGATTTGCGGATGATACCACACTTCTTGCATCTTCCGAAGCAGAAATGGCAGAGTTGCTCAAAAAGTTAGAAACCGTCAGCTTAAGAATGGGCCAAGCCATAAATAAAGCTAAGACCAAGGTCATGGTCATAGACCGTTTTTCAACGTGTCCCAACACTAACCTCCTGCATGGATATGAGACCGTGGACCAATTCCAGTATCTGGGCTCCGTAATCACAAAAAAGGGCAACTGTGAGCCGGAGGTGCGAAGACGAATCGGCATGGGAAAGACAGCAATGACACAATTGAGCAAAGTGTGGAGAGATAGGAATATCAGCATCAAAACAAAAATACACCTAGTCCGCACACTCGTCTTCTCCATATTTCTGTATGGTGCCGAGACCTGGACTATTAAGGCGGCTGATAGACGGAGAATCGACGCGTTTTAGATGTGGTGTTGGCGTCGTATGCTGAGAATACCATGGACAGCTCACCGCACAAATGTCTCTGTCTTACAGCAGCTTAAACTAGAGAAAGCACAGCGCCTGTCTTTAACCTGCCTGAGACGCATACTACAATACTTCGGCCACGTTGCTCGACGAGATACCGATAACCTGGAACGCTTGATGGTTATTGGGAAAATAGAGGGAAAAAGACCCAGGGGCCGGAGCCCGAAACGTTGGTCGGACCAGGTCTCGGAGGTACTTGAGATCCCGGTCAGTGCTGCACTCCACCAAGCAGCTGAGTGAAACCGATGGAGACGGATGGTTGGCGAGATGACACGGAGTCACGATCCTCAGCAGTGAGGCAACGATAGAGAAGAGAAAAATATGTAAATTTGTTATATCTTGTACCACGACTTACGTTCCCAAACAAATAAACATCGAGAATAAAGACGCGCTCGCTTGATATTTTTTTTTTCTATTTATACGACTCTCTTGACCTCAATCTAGCCCTAGGACATATATGAGATCTACGGTGAGACGAGCTTGCTCAGAAGGAACCTTATTCATACATTTAAATCACAGATAAATAACAAATGCAGTTATAAAATAAAATCTTTTGTATATTATACACAATATAAAAAACCTATATTTGTACATATTTCTATATAGTTAATATGAAATATATTTGTCGTAAAATCGATCCAAAACCTAAATATTTAAGATTTTGCAATTTTATAAAGAAAAAACATTTTAGGTAAAATTTGCAAAAGAGAGCTTGGTAGAAAATTCGTGCCTACACTAAAAAACCTACTATTCGTGTATCAGGCAAACATTTCAAGGAATACAAATTTTCAATCTTCACACGACTTCATTGTTAAACACACCATCGTATTATGGAGTATCTGAAACAATGACGATACTGCAACACCCACACCCTAAAGTTACCAAGATTATTTGTCTACTTTCAGATTAAATGGCCTATTTATATGGGTACCCGATGTTTTGAACAGAGTTCTGTCTGGCGGTGGAGGGTCGAGTATGACCGCGTGTGACGTCATAGCGTTAGGAAGGAACATGGTGAGTATTATAATTAATAATAAATAGTAAAATTAATATCACAATAAGCAATTTGGTAACGAGTAGTTTGATGATGTATTTCGCTTTGTAATTGAGGAATTCAAATAGCTTTCGCATCGAATAATCATCGGATGGATGACCAAAAGCATATTGTCTTCGCTTCTGTATTGTCTCGAGCAAGCTTCCGAAAGCACATTAAGCTGTTGGTCCTCTACTGTTGTCTACGCCCAACAGTCCACACTAGACCCTCCAGATGCCTTTCGGAGCAACGTAAAATGGAGTACATTATAACGCGTAATATGACAAACTCTAGAAACGCTTTATCTACAGCAAACATGTTTTCTGCGGTCGAAAGTGAGATGTATGGGAGCACCCATGAAAGTGACATTTAAAAAGTAGACAAAACGCTCCCGAGTTCGTCATGCTACACGTGCAGGATCTAATCTTTAAATTTTCCTCTTATTTTAATCGGTGTGCACAATATCAAATATCTTTCTTATTCGCAGACTGTGCAAGTGGGAGAGTGCAACGACACAATCGACAAGTTAACGTTTAAGATAAACACCGTAGCTTCAATAATTTGTGCTTTCGTAGCTTTAGCGTTAAGCACTACGGTAAAGTGTATCGGAAAAAAAAGTTTGATTGTGGTAATACTCGCAATGATTGGTGTATTTAATGTACTGAATAACGTGATCACGCAGCAGCTATTGTTCGCTGCGTTACTGTCGTGTCTTCAACTGACCGCAATCGCTATTGGTCCCATCAATGCTTATAGCGTCGAACTGTTTCCAACGCACTTGAGGTAAGATTAAAGCGGGGAATTCATTAGACGGGCATACCCGCGCGCAAGGCTGGCTAATGTAGGACCGTCGCAATCATTACACAGACCTATACAGTCCGTTTCACATAGCATGGGTATAGAGACGTTTGTGAACAAATCTATTTCATGCAATTTGTATTTCCAAATAACTGTGTGTATATTAGATATTTATTTAAATTTGCATATTAAAATAGAAATAAATTTTAAATAGACACTATTACTGAAATCTAAGACTCTAAAACATCTATACTTGTAACGATAAACGAATTAAATCAATAAAATCCATTATAATCGAAATAAGTATACATTTTTTTCATCGTTGTACTAACAATTATACTTAACTATAATAAACTTTTGTATTTATATATTTTTATTACCACGTCACTGAAAACTACAAATCCCAGACGAAACCGGACCGATGATATGTGAAAAGGCTATATATAGTATACGACGTCTGCAGCCTTGCCCGCGGGCATGCCCGTCTAGTGAACTCCCCGCTTAACTCAAAGTTAACAATGTAGCTCAATGCACAGTGTGTGTCAAAGTACCTTTTAGGAAGCAAAATTGGGGACATTCGGGCGGTTATCAAAAGTAATCTGATTTCAGTCTAATGTATCATCAATATTTCTAATAAGTGGTTTCTACGATAAACAAAAAATCCCGCGAAATCATGCGGATCAAATACTATTACGGTTTGCATGGCGGGGCAACCTGTGTGTGGTAACAATTAAAGCCGTTGGTTCCAGCATGTGCAATCGTTAACGCTCACTAATCCCCATTGGGCCCGTGTGGTGGGATATCCATCAAAGCCTGTGACCAACAGTGGTAAAATTGTTTTTCTCTCGCACATTCCGATTGGATGGGCAAGTATATGTATTTGTCATTCTTTTACATCCCAACAAACTTGATTATAGATGGCATGATCCTATAGTAGCCTTGCCATAGGGAAGCTTTTACCGCGAAAAAGATTATTATTTCTCATTAACCATGTGAGATAAGTCACAGGTGTATTAAATATGTTTCTTCATTTATATTTACAGAGGGACAGCTGTCAGTTTGTCTATGATGTTAGGAAGATTGGGATCAATAGTTGGTGCAAACGTAGCAGGAGTTATGATAAACGCAACATGCGAAGGAATGTTTTATATGTTCGGATCGTTCATGTTCTGTAAGTATAATCATAGATATAAGAATAAATTGAAAACAACCGATACGTTGAAATCGAAATTATAAGCAATTTTACTATTTAAAGAGCGTATTCCTAAACTGTGCCCGCGACACTCGGGATTATCGAGGGACGCCGTTAAAATAATTGTGACAGGCCTACAACAGTAACGTTTTGAATATTGTTTCTTTGAATAACAAAAATATTTTTTAAATATTAACTTTATTAATTGTATAAATCTGATACTTTTATGACTTCACCATCTGATGGCCAACTTTAATATCTGGTGGTGATGGAGGCCAACGGATGTCGTAGCAATGGGGAAGTATTTAAAAAAAAAACAAAAGCACTTAAAAGCACCTCCACTAGATGGCGACTATAGCAAAACTTGATTTTTGCAGGAAACGAATGGAACAAAGACAGTCATTTCCGTTCCTTTACGTACACTTTACATATTAAACAACTGAAATTTGAAAATATCGAAACTTATATATCAATACAAATACGAAAAAGTACAAATAGAATATGAGTTGTTTATTGAATTTTGAAAACTAATTTACTTTTAAACATGAAAGAAAACCGGAAAGGTTGTAATGGAGAAATCAAGAACGTACCGTGGCGACATCTAGTTAGATTTCGGGAACTAATGTTTTTTTAAATACTTTCTCATTGGTAATTGAAACAACATATAAAAATTAGCCACTTATAATTTTGCAATTTGTATTTAATATGTGTATGTTATGTCATCATCATTTTATCCGCCCTTTTATGTCCCCACTGCAGGGGCTCAGACCTTCCTTGTGGTTGATTTAGGAAGACGGGTTATGACCCTCTACGCTGGCCCAATACGGATATGAGGATAGGTATTAGTAACTGCAAATGCAGCCGGGACCAACGGCTTAACGTGCCTTCCGAAACACAGAGTAGCTCGTGACAATAATTTTTTGGTGACCCATCCCGTGACAGACTTTTCGAAAATTGCTTAACAACAGCAATCGCGGGCCGCCGTATTTATCCACTACGCCACCGAGCTACTACTACTGTCAGTTTTTTAAGTTGTCCCAATAAATAAACAAATGTAATAATGTTTTAGAACAGGGCTTCCCAAAGTGGTATATAATAGTAAGTACCCCTAGGGGTTGATGTGGGTTCAACCCCTAGGGGTCTAAAAATCAACATCTGATTATTAACATTTCCTTATTTTAATCATTCAAGGTACTATATCAGTTGAATTACGTGTAGCAAATGTTTATAAGTATGGCTAATGTTTTCGAAAGAAGCATAATTGGTATCTTGTTAAAACTCGGAAAATCAATATAAATGGACAAGGTCAAGCAAAATAATTGTGTTCGAGCGTAAAACCAAGAAATAGGTTTTAAAGTATATCGGAGTTTGAGGAGTTTTGGATCTTATCCAAAAAAGTTTGAGAATCCCTACTTTAGAACATCTGTCTGATATTAATTCTTAATGTTTATTTGTATTTTTAATCGAATAATTTATTGGCAAATACAAGTAATTATTAAAATAATATCAAACTAATGTCAAAGGTAAATTAATGTCAAACTTATTCCGTATTTCACTACCACATTTATTATTCAAATTTGTCATTTAAGAATTCGAGAACACTATAATAAGCTTCGTCCAATAACAAACATTTTAATTTGATGCGGAAAGTATTTAAACTATTGATTTTTTCGATGTCCTGAGGTATCTTATTGTAAATTCGAGGTCCCATACATAGCACACTATTATTCATAAGCCATGAACTGTTACGTGGAAAACAGAATTTGCTTTTTACACTTTGGTACTCTTATTTTTTGTTGTTTCTATTGATATCAATAGCAGCTAATCGTTGCTTTATCTGCCAACGAGTAGCAGCTATTTAAAAAAAAATAATGAAAAACGACCATGCTGTACTAATACGATTTTTTTTTATTGCAGTATGCGCTCTATTGACATTGTTATTACCAAGGTCAAGGTCTACAGTACCTCCGAAGGACGACGAATTTATAACTAAATTATAATAGACATAGATTTTTTAGTTAGTGTGATTTAAGATACTACTTTTTATTACTCAACTAAGAATAGGATCTTTACTGAAATACCTAAGGCACAAAAATAATATTCCAAAAAATAACACTCCTGTTTGCCCTAAAATTTCGATATGTACCTACACAAGACAGGCGCATGAGTGATGTCAATCAGGTAAGAACAGCGCCATCTAAGAATCTTTTAAAATACAAATTGGCAGCTATTAGCGAATTACAGATGCAGAGTTTTCTACCATGTTTTCCGTCATACCACGTGAGCACGACACACCATAGTGTGAATACGAAACTGTATTTTTATAGAATAGCCGAACAAAGATCTAGAAAATAATACTAGTTTTTAATTATATCATATTGTTAAGAGAACTATTGAATGTGAACAAAAGAATGTATTCCAAATAAAAAACAGTACATACATCATATGTCTGAATGCCAATAACTAGAATTTCTTTACAACTTATTAATGTCATTATTTTTTTTTTTGTTTTAGTCTGTAATTTATCTATGCATTAATATGAAGAGTGAAACCTTTATATTACTCATCCTTTTAATTTGTATTTTCATGTGGTTGTCTGGTAAATAAATAAAAAAAAGATTTGATAAATTGAAAATTTTAATTTTTATAAAATTTTAAATAATATAATAAAAATAAATGCTTTTAATAATACAGTTAATAATCTTGTAAACCTCTACATCTCAAAATTACATACTATAAATAATAACGGTTTATCAATCGTCAACAAAACCACTTACTATGAAAAATAATGCAGACTCTTAAAGAATTTTTCAATTATCTTGCAATTTAACGTGCCTTTACAATATTTAAAAAAAACTCGACAGAACAGTCTTCGGCATATAATGTCGATTTTAAAACTGCAGAGCCTCTAGACGTTATTATAAGTTTCAGAAACCGATTTACTTTGGTATTTTCTTCACTATAGGCGCATTGCGAAGTTGTTTTTAAGTCGAGATTGATAGATGTCAAATATGACCTTTTATAATAACCCCATAATATTCCATTGTTTATCCCAACTGAACATTCATAAAAATATACATTCATTTAAATAAAAAAAATCATGAGCGCTGCTCTTCTTTGTCTTTTACGTACTTGTCTATGTACTGCTGAATGTGATCTGCTCCCATGCGTTCTTTGATCATTTTGAGGGAGATAGCAAATACTTCAGTAGCTATGTCTTTGTCTCTGGCCAAAGTGGACGATTCACAGTAGAAGCAGTTATTAAAGTATAAGCCGGTAACTCCATCCAAGTCAGAATCAGTCGCCACATACACGGTGGTGGCCGCAGCTTGTTGCTGAAATTAACAATTTTGTTTTATAATTGATGATCATTTGTTCAAATGATCATCTTTATCGAAAATTTAAATATTTCTTTCGACTTTTTGGGTGGATCGACTGAACATTGGTGAAAATACGCTCTGTAGCAGCGAAAAAGTCTTAGTAGGTTAGGGCAGTCGCTCTGGTTGCGAAGTCATGGATTCGAGTCCCATCTCAGAGTGCCCAAGACAAATATTTTTGTTTTACTAAAAAGCAGACCCGGATATAGCAGTCAGGTCTCCTACAAAACGACACAGGCAACGATGGGACGGGCAAATTTTGAAAGTCCCTAAAGAAATAAATGAAATTAAATCATTTATCAATATTGCATTGCATGTGAATATTTTTTAAAGCCGAAAAATTACTTTAAATATGACACTGACATTTTTGTTACAATTTTATTTCATTTCAAATATATGTAAAAAAAAAATCTCCCGCGTAAACGCCGTCTTCTGTCATGGCGTCGCTATTCTTCTGAAAATAAAAGATTCGTCCGATCTTTACAAATGTAAGTAGCGGAGAAGCTTATATTTAGCAATACACTTGGCCCAATCTTTCTTTCTTAAAAATGCTGTATAATTATTATGATAAAGTGATATGATATCGAAATACAAATATTCAATTGGATAATATATGAAATTAGAATTCAAACTATCTCAATCATAACGTATTACGAAAATAAGAGTCAACATAGGAACAGTGACAAACAAACATAACAATCCACAAGTACTCATTCTTCATCTTTTATTCTTTTATTATTTTTGGTTTAGTATTCATTTTATCCATTTTATTTAAGGAACTTATTTTATTTTTTGTGATATAATTGCAATCTACTTACCAAAGATTTAGTAAATGGACGAACTAAGAAGAAGGCGAGTCGGAATAGCCACCAAGAATTACTAAGATTAGTGTAGACCATATTGCCTGGATGAAGCGAGTTAACGTATATACCTTTACTCTTCCATTCTTCACTTAAGACCTGAAATATTTTTATACATAATATTATAGTAATATATATTTAAACTTACAAAAAATGTCATAACAAAATTACATAAATATGCAGTTGTATAAAATATTACTATTTTATCATCATCAGCCCTCTTACATCCCCACTGCAGGGGCTCAAGACCATCCTTATGGATGGTTAAGGAGGATGGGTCATGACCCTCCATGCTGGCCCGGAATGTGGATTGGAGGGTATTAACGACTGCAAATGGAGCCGGGACCAACGGCTTAATGTGTCGTCCGAAGCACGAAGTAGCTCGAGATAATAATTTTGGTCACCTTGTTTGGATGATGATGTTTGGACTCCGAAACTACTGGATCTATTAAAAATTCTATCACCTACGGGTAGCTACATCATAGGGAGCTTTCCGAATAACACAATACAACCAATCTGTGTCTTCAGTTTTATTTGTCAGTTTATGTCCATACTTAAAAATTTGACTAGTCAGAAGCTTATTTTATTTCTTGCATTATTTAACGCCGACTTGAAAAATTAATCGGCTCTGAACTATAGCGAGGCTCCCAATTGCGCGGGGCCTAAAAACATGCGAGGCCTTGACTTTTAGTCTTATATATATTATGGACCAGGTGATTAATGCGGACAATTTTAATAATGTGCGAGCATTGTGAATAATGTCTAGCTCTGTAGGGCTATGTGATTATATTCTATTTAACTGAATTATTTATCACATTTCACGGTCGTTATTATTTTGCTATAATGACGATTGGACAATTTGATAATAAAGCTAAATTTGGCGCGGTGCGGGAGGGAAGAACGCGTGACACAGTTTACTATAAGATGCTAATTATACTAAATAATTAATCTCATCTTGTTTAATAAATAAATTTAATAAATCTTTTTTAATAAATAACAAAAACAACGATAAAATAAACGAAGTTTTTATGGTCCTGTAGGTCACGTGATTTTTTACTTAGATAACAGTAAAGGTTATTTATCACATTTCACAATATGTCTTCCTACTTTCGTATATCACAAATTTTTTCACGAGAAAACTAAACTTTAAATTTTATAAAATAAGGACTACATTTTAATTATCTGGATAATATAGTAATAAAATTTTCTTTTGCTTTTTTTCTTCTTATTTACGCTTCTCCACGCTTAGGCGGTGGGTATGGTAGGGAGGGGGTGTTACCACTAAAACCCATTTGGCGCACGTTGTTGTTGTGCTTCTATAAAACGTACAAAAAATATGTTACATTCAAAGATATGTTTTAAAATCTTTGTTTTTAATTTTATATGTTTTGTGTCATAAATATTTTTATATGACTCTCCTTAACTTTTAAATGTAAAAACTAGTGCATTCTTTATGTGTGAAGTCCTTGCTATTTTATCTAAATAATAAGACTAATTATTTAAATAAGACTAATTATTTAAATTGTTTAACGTTTAGTTTATTTTTAGTGATCTCATTTTTGTCCTTGAGCTAGATCGAAGACAAGAGTGAGCCCATTGTAAAGAAGAATGACAATAAAAATGAAAAATTACTATTTAAATATTATTATATTACCCTGCTCAAAAGGTAATCAATAATGTGTATGTATAATGGTCAATTTGATTTTTTGAATAATTGTCCTCTCATATTAGACATTTTTCACAATGATCGGGCATTATGTATAATGCCCGATTTACCACTTGTTTCATAGCATATAGAGTTGTTTGTCCCAAACGTCGTTATCATTATCATTCATCGTCAGCATCATTCATATCATACATCATTATCATTTGTCATTATCATCAATGGATTTTGGTGGAATAATTATTGGATTTAAAATTTAAATATTATTTAATTTATCATCATGAAATGACCAGAGTTTTATTTCCCAATATCCTCTAAAATACATTGTATAATATTTTATACTCCGAGAACAAAGTTCTTTGAGTTGTAGACTGTAGCTATCCTTATCTAATTTGTTAACAGCCTCTATAAAAATAATTTAAGTTCAAGTATTTTTCATACTTAAACTTAAATTATTATCAACCTAGTAACATAGTACACTACTCAGTGCAATGCTATTATCGTATAAATAAGATTAGCATTGTTAAGATAAAACTATCGATAACGAAGTATATGATAACAAACAATTCAATTAAAATATTAATGAATAATACCTATGGTTTTGTGACTGTAATCAGTCAGAAAAATTTATAAATCTTACAACTCCAATTTCGAATTTAATTAAAAAGAAAACTTTTTAAAATCTGTCAGATTCTCTATCTATTTATAAAAAATAAGTAACTAGGTTACGCTCTAATAAAACAAATAATATAAGTACCAAAAATACCAATATATACCATTATAATAATAAAAGTACCAACACGGTACTTACTTTAGCAGTGACGACATTGAATAATTTTGAATTATTGTAAGCCATCATTGATGTATACTGGTCCTTGCTCATACACAAAGTTTGTTGGGTAAATACATTTTTCAAATTGGCAAACCTGGAACATTTTCATAAACCACAATTAATTTTGTTGGAATGTATTTCTCTTTACCTAACATAATTTCACCTAGATCTTTAATGAACCCCCGAGTCCCACCTTGTCCCTGGGCCTGGTTTTTCATATAACCACATTTACATAGGCTTCCATAACAACATTCAATACTGTATTCATATCAATAATTAAGCTTAATAAATATAAAAATGAAATAGTTAGAATATGTAAAATAGGTACCTATGGGATTCAGATGACACAAATATTACTCTTGAGCCTCTTCTCAGTAATGGTTCTAATAACAAAGCCAGGTACATATGGCTTAAATGATTTACTTGAAATGTTGCCTCTAACTTGTCCTCAGTTAAAGTATATGGTAAACCGAATATCCCAGCATTTAATATCACCATGTCCAAATGGCTGCAACAAAAGCACAATTTTAGTTTCTATTATTTTTGAGTTTGCCGTTTTTAAACGCAACTTTAATTCATCTATATAACAAGAACCAAATTATTTGTGTAAAAAAATGATGATTTTAATTGTCTAGTGTGTGACTCATTTAAACCCAAGTGCACAAACATTTATATAAAAATGTGATTAGTTTAAATTGACATTACCCAATACAAATTTTGAAATATAGAAAATTGAACAGAACTTAAAGCAGTCTTCTTGTAAACCTTAATGAATGTTTGTGCAACTATGTTTCAGTAAGAATTAAAAATTGCTCAGTGGTTTAGAAAACATGTTAAACAATAGGGTAGTTTCGGTAATGAAAAATAAGTTACGAAATTGCACAACAACTAAAATTTACATCATAATAAACATAGAGATTCTGATTTCGAGTCTCAGAACCGGACGATTATCTTAACATCTTAAAATTAAATGTGACTTTAAACACGACACGCCATTGTATGACGTCACTATGCTGACAACTGTCAGATTAGACAAAGATATGCTTAATAATTATAAATCAATTTGATTTATAATTATTGATTGTGATGTTCTTAACTTACTTTAATCTTTTTATTTCAAAATCGTTTGTTAGCACTGTTCTTGTTTTATTGATATCTTTTAATCTTCTACTCAATGCATGTTTTGTGTACATATCACAATGACGTCATGAATACGACTGATAGCATTTTTGGGTATGAAAGTTTAAATTTTAATTAATTTAAGGCAATAAAACTTTCGAAATATTTGTTATACGGCTCGTTTCAATTAAAATAAACAGGTAGAAGTATTATTTCAAACAGGGTATAATACCCTTATTGGTCTTGGCTGTATCTACATTTGTTAATGCGATATATATTGGCTTGTTCTGTGTGTTGTAATTAATAAAAAAGTTACTTCAACAGTGAGAATATGAATGTTAATAATAGGTTAATGATTAACATATACCCATTAATCAGAAATAGATAAAAAAAAACAAATCCTTGGAATATACAGTAACCAACAATTTAAATTATTACCTTGGGGCAATAATTAAAATAACTCTATGTTTATGTCATGATGAAGAATTACATCACTAACATAAAATAAATATTAACAACTCTTAAAAGATTTTACTTCTTACTCAGAGAACAAAGTTTTGACAGCTAATGCACATTTTTTCACACTCTGCAGGGAAGCCAGGTCTAAATGTATAGCTTTCAAATTCTCTTCATCAGCATTAGTTTCTCTGACTATATTTTTTATAGCTTGCTGTGTTGATTCCATGTTACGATTGGCAAACAATATTTTACATCCATGCCGTGCTAATGATTTTGCCGTTTCATAGCCAATACCAGCATTCGATCCTGTTATAAATGCATACTTCCCAGATAGATCAACTCCATGTAGCACCTGTAAAAAAATAGCATACAATTATTTTATCCATTGGATTTTGTTATTTTATCATTAGAGCTAGCATTATATTAGCTACTGTGAATTCAAAATTGATCAGCACATAACTCTATTGATTAAATAGAGACCTGTGAATGTTTTTCAGAATTTAGAGTAAAATTATTATTTTAGCTCAGACCCTTTATTTTAAGTGCACATTATCATACTTTTCAGCTTAATTACAGATTAACTCTTTATAACAAACAGTATTAACCAGGAAAAATATAAGTTTTTGAAAAAATAAAATATGTAGTCTCATTTTGTCCACAGGTACAATGTCAAATGTACCTATGGACGGACTATTTAAATATCATAAAATTTCAATATAAAATAAATACCTATAAGATAGGTACATATTACTTTAAGAAGTTTGATTTTTTAACATAACAAATACTCAGCATATAAATATTTAGAAAAATCAAATAAACTTTAAACTAGATTAGTAATAAGGCAACAAAATTAACATATGCATATATAGCACTTCTTTTAAAGCATTCATTCAACTGAATGTCTTAATTTTCTTCAAATACCCTCTTCACATCCCTCCTAAATGCTCTATGGTCTGTGTTACTAATTAATATCTTTGATTTTGTTTTATTGATGATATTTAAAAATAGTAGAACTTAGTATTTTTTACTTCTCAACAATTATACAAATCAAAACTCTACTTTTGACTTCTTTTACTGCTTCCATAAGAGCCTCTAAACATATTTTATCATGATTCACTCCAGTTTTACTATGCCACACTTGAAAACAAAATAAATAAATTATTAATATATAGTGTACAATTCAGAGTACGTACCTATGGACAGTCCACAGGTTCAATATTCTTTTGTCCATAGATACAAATAAACAGTTATAACTTCTAAATTGCTTCTGATTAAAAAAAACACATATCTATAAAGATTTTACCAAACCAAAAATAACATAATGCACTATATAATTTCTATAAACTTGTGCTTGTATGTTTATCTTTATTTCAGAAAAATCCATAGAAATTTAACAAAAACATTTATTTTAACCAACTAATTTCTGAAAGGTGCAAGATGCAAACATTTGAGATCAAGCAAAACACATCAGTGTTACCAAGAATCAAAAATGCTTTAGATGCTTTCGTGATAGGAACTTATGCTATTTAATTTTTAAGTATCAAAGGTGTCCATAAGTAAAGCCGTCCAAAGGTGCAACACTTAACAATTCATTTATTTATTATATATTACTAGCAATAGAACAATTACATAATATACCTGATAAGCAGTTGATGATCCATCAAAACGCTGACGAAAATCATGTACATGTTTCTTTTCATCTTTAGCAAATGCTAATCTTGGATCTACTTCAGTCTTGCTACCACTTTCATTGTGTACATAAAGTATTGTACCAGATTCGTCAACAGTTTTTGACCATCCAAATGGCAATTCTTTGGGAATAACTTTTTTACAGCCTGTTCGAGGATGGGTCCATTGTATCTTATTTGTACAAGAACTGAAACATTGTTTTTATGTATCTTTATTAAATAAATGTAATAGGAACAGTCAAAGTCTAATTTTTAGTAAAAATAATTTAATGAAGCTGCAATTCACTCACTTTACATAATATACATTTCCATCTTCTGTCGATTTTTGGACCCAACCTCCGGGGAGATCATCGTCACTATCGGAGTCTATATTATGCATAACTAATAACTAAAAAGAAATTCTTAAAGTTTTGTACTTCAATCAAGTGATCAAGGCGTAATTCAAATAAAAAAGTTTTCACAAAAAAGATGTACCTAGTACTTAACACAGACTTAGTAGGTATATACTTTTTTGACATATGTCATCGGACCATAAATAGTGGCACCAACAAACAAATTTATTATAAATTGAGATATCGATTTGTTTGTGTGTCGATTGTGCATGATTTGTTCAATAGAAATCGTTTTTCCATTTTGAAATATGATTAACTCCAATAACAAGATTATTCGAAAAAATTCAATACAAATTTTTATCCATTGAAACAAATACTTAAAAAAGTTATAGTATTCGCCTTTATAGATAAGTTTAGGCCCTAAGTAAATGCTGGGTCCTGAGTATGCCCAAGAAAATTCATATTGATACAATTAAAGAACACAAGGAAAAAATAAAATGTCACATGTTTCTAGACAAAATTTTACCGCTTTTAAGATGATTATTATTTATCACTTTTTGTCAATTTGGAATTGGTTCTATTTTTGCAAAATTGATTTTATTTAATTATTTTTAATGATACTTATATAGGTAATTTATATAAATATTTTGTATAGGTATCATTAAAATATTCAATATCTAAAAAAGAAATTATATTTAAAGCTTCCACGATTATCACTCAGGAATGTTTTTGGAACGTTACGTATTAAATAAAAAGTTTGTTTTTTTTTAATTTGCATAATAATAATACTTAAATAATGTACGACTAAACAATGCTTTTATTTTAAAAATATGCTATCTTTTTATCAATCCGCTTCATAATAATTTATTTCCCATTACGTCAATTACGTACAACGTTAGGTTTTATATCGTTTTTGATGTGTCGAAAGGTACCTCTTATTTTGTTAATAATTTAATTTTCATACACAAAACATTTTCTTCTATTTCATGCTAAGATCTTTACGGCATAATCTTGGGTGTTTTCAAGAGGTGTTGTATCAGAACGAGTTATTGGATATTGTAAATTGGGTATCAAAAAAAGATATGTTCAAGTGTCTGGTTCTCTTGAGTTAAACATTCGGTGTATACTGGAGATGTTCTTATATGCATACGATGTAAATGAACTTTAAACTGGCAATGTCCAAATCTCAATCTATTTTATTTGATTGTAGAATTTTCTCTGGAGATAGTTGCTGGACATAACGAACTAGGGTTTTCGGCCAACTTCTTTATTGTTACCAGCATACTATGCACCTTTTGTACTAATGACAAGTGTTCTTTCTGCTGTCCATAGCTCGTAGATTTTTAACGGTATTCTGGTACGACATTTTGCCAAGGACAAGAGATGTTTTAAGATTGCTACCCATCAATTTTAATTTAATTCGAAACTACTAAACCGATTTTAATGAAACTTATAGTGCACCCTAAGTTGAAAGCTAAGCAATCAAATAAAAAAATAGATGATGCGATAGAAGATGCACAGTGAAGCAACATCTCTACGCAGGGCAAGTGGATCAAGCCGGCTTGAAGTGTCCCGGCAATCGAAGATTCGAGTCGCTCTCCGCTGAATGCGGTCTAGAGGGAGAAGCTGGTATTGCGGTGCCCCTGCCCAAAGATGAGAACAGTACTCCATATGAGCCCAAACTTGCGCCTTATAAAGCTGCAGGCGATGTGCTGGAGTGAAATACTGCCTCGATCTATTAAGTACACCAAGCTTCTTAGATGCTAATTTAGCCTTACCCTCTAAGTAACCACGGAACTGGACCTCGATCGATATGTCGACACCAAGAATCTCAATATTGGCTGAGGCAGTTAGGGGAATGTCTTGAAAGCGTGGTGATACGACAAATGGGGTTTTTTTGGCGGTGAACGTGCAAACCTGTGTCTTAGTAGGGTTGAAATGGACCAAATTAAGTCGACCCCAGTTAGAGACTTCCTCTAACGAAGAATCAATAACAGACACAAGTTGATTCCGGCTCTCAATGACGCTTTCCCGAGAAATACCTGCACGACCATTATAGGAGGAGTCCATCGTGCTGTCATCTGCATAACAATGAATACCGCTAATTTGCAGCATGTCATTAATATGCAGAAGAAAAAGTGTAGGCGATAGCCCACATCCTTGGGGAACACCAGCATTAATAGATAGTAGGTCTGAGCATTCACAGTCGATTAAAACCTTAATGCTTCTGTCTGCCAAAAAACTAGTGACCCATGCACATAATTTCTCGGGAAGCCCATACGAGGGAGGTTTTGATAGAAGAGCTTTGTGCTACACTACACTCGATCGAAGGCTTTCGCTATGTCCAAAGTTACTGCCAGGACCTCCCCCTTTGTTTCAATTGCCTTAGCCCAGTTATGTGTCAAGTAAACTAGAAGATCGCCAGCAGAGCGACCACTACGAAATCTGTATTGTAAAACTTATAAAAGGTAATAAGTTTTTAATACACACTGTATGTATCTAAAATATGTGCATTGGATACATAGAATTGGATCAAGGGACGGAAAACTCAAAAAACGTCTTGAGAAAATACTTTGTTGTATAAAAAAATGTGTATGTATTCAATATAAACACAAGTCTCGTTAAAATAAGGAAGTATTTTAAAAAAACGAAAGCACTAAAAAAGAACCTCCACTAGATGGCGAATCTAGCAAAAGTTAATTTTTGTAGCAAACGAATGAACCAAAGACAGTAATTTCCGTTCCTTTTAACTAACATATTAAAAAAATTGAAATTTGAAAGTTGAAAAGAGAGTTGTTCGAAAACAACTCATATTATATTTGTACTTTTTCGTATTTGAGCTAGATATCAATACAAATACGAAAAAGTACAAATATAATATGAGTTGTTTTTTGAGTTTTTAAAACTAATTTACTTTTAAACTTGAAAGAAAACCGGAAAGTTTGTCATGAAGAAATCAAAAACGTACCGGAGCGACATCTAATTTGATTTCCGGAACTAATGCTTTTTTTTCAAATACTTCCTCATTCCCTTAAGTTTCATTCGAAAGCTGTGTAACACGTCTTATTCAATAAAATGTTTAAATGAATTAAATAAATCTGAACAGTTTTTACACTTATTTTTCCATATCCTAAAAAAGCAATTTCCTGTGAAGTCACCACATTTATTTTAAACTAGTATTTAATGACAATAATAATAATAGATAACCGGCAAATATAAATAACTGCTAAATTTCGAGCCTAAAACATTTGCCAGAAATATTCTGACATTTGAAGCCAATGAATATAATCATAATGATCGGCAAACTTCGCGCACTGTTAATTTTGCTGTCATTCGTAATACGCTCTGGTTAAATGAATTTTCAAATCGAGTTGGAGAAATTAAACCCACACGTATAGGGGAGAATTAAATCGAGTTATCTAGAGTTGCATCACTAAAATCAAAATGGCTTTGGTTGAGTTTGACACTCGGTAAAGTCAGTTTATGTATGTCAAGGTGAATTGTCAAGTTATAAAAAATATTATTAATTTCAAGTGTTTAGTATTATTTTAATAGTTTCTATTAAAACATAAATTCAAGTAACAAAAAGTTTTATCTGATGTCTTGTTATATGTGCAAAGTGAAACGTAAATGGTTGTTGTAAAAAATGCTTGTGCGGACGCTTTCAAGATCATTGTATTTTGCCTAATTCAATAGAAAATCTAGACCTCCTTTGTGATTCGAGATGACCAAGTTTAAGCGGTTACGTGTTTATGAATAATATTACTTTATAGCAGATAATGGGAGACAAGTTAAACAGAGAGTACTTTGCACCAGGTGCAGCAACCTTCAACTTTAACAATGTGGTAAGTTATTGCCTAATTTTGAATTATCGTCTTGGTCTTACATGTCACGTTGATAATATATCCCATCAGTTCACTAGTGAGTTATTTTCTTATTACTAATTTCCACCAACTACCAGTTTACACCAAATGATTGTTTAGAAATCAACATTTTGCTTTCTGTATCTATTATATATGCTTTTTATGTATATATTTCTAACATTATACCATCAAACATATATTTATTTATGAATTGTCAAAATTGTTGGCCAACATCCACAAAAAAGTTGGGCTCTCAGCTACATCATCAAGTAACTTACCTTAATTAGAGCCACATAGCCAAAGTAGTATAAAGTGAACTACATATACCTATTTAATTAATATAGTAGTGAGGTAAAAATAGTTCATTAATTAATCAGTATTATTCGTTTACTATCAGAATTGCATATAATTTTAAATCATGATTTAGAGTAAAATTCCTACATAAAACTTAAATCTATAGGTTTATATTTCTATTATTTCATGATTATTATTATTATTATTTAAGCTAGAAAGCAAACTGCAAAACTAATATTATTCTGAGAAGCATAAAAAATCTTATGAACATTCATGGTAACTCTAAATCAATTAATATATGTGACATTTTCAAAAAATTACTATATGTTTGGTTTCTAGCATTGATATTATTATAATCTTTAATCTGATTTTTAATTAGATCTTTTATAGTTGCAAGTTTTCATCTTAGTGTTGTAACATAGCTCAGTATGATTCATTAATTTGTTTTGTAATCAAACCTCTGAAACTAAATATTAATATTTCATTAGTTTTTAAGTAAGAACTGTTGAAGTTAGCATAATACTGAAAAATATTTTAAGTTCCCATTTGAAACACACACAACACAACTTCATTCTAATTTTTGCTAATCAACAAAAACTTCTAATGTTTTAAATTGCTTTAATTGTCTAACTATAATGTAAACTAAAAGACACTTCAGATCACAACACTATTTTTTATTTGAGATAAGTATATTACTTATAGTTGCATTCTAGTAACTAAAATAACTTGTTTCATGTGTTTTCACACACAACACTCATTAAATAAAAAAAAACTATAATAATTCACTAAAGGCATGTTCTACTTACCAAATTATATTTTTTTATGATTAATTTTTAATAATGTAGAAAACTTTATGAGTTCTAATTTTTTTAAGTTTGACTAACACAAACTGTAATGCTAAATTTTTTCATTAATACCATCACTTGTAAGTAAGTAATTTATGACCATTATGTAGTTACACATATAATGTGATTCCAATATGATTTTCAGTTGGAGTGAAAAAGACAAAACAGTTTATCTACACAATGCTTACACATTGCATATTAGTAAAGCATAAATATATATAACTAAACTATACTAAATTTTAATTAATAATTTAAATTTAACAGTCAAATGTCAATATGAGAATACTACTTGGGTCTGAAGGTCTTTGTAAAACATTTTTTCTTTGGATAATTGAACTGTCTTCATATTGCCAACCGGGGTTTGGAGTGATAATTATCATTAATAATTATCATGAAAATTATATTGATAAATATACCTTGATTATATTTTTTTATATAAAAATTGTTATAAAACCCTACAAACTCTTTTTGTACTTTAGGAATTGTAAGGGGAATCATATTTAACCAATTTTTTTTTTCTGATAGCGAAAATTATCCAGAATAGATCTACAAAACAAAAAAAAAAATTAAAAGCCTCCTTTTATTAAAAAATGTTTATATATTTATTTCACTTTTAGTTCAGTGTAATTTCACTGTATTTTTTTTTTAGTTTAGTTTTATTATTTAAAACAAGAAAAGAAAGTTTATTCAATTATTAATACCCTTCTGTATTTCAATAATTGTTGCCAGAAATTATGGATTATTGTTAGATATTTATCGGATAATTATCAAAAAAAAATCTTGATAATTATCCAAAAAAATATTTTGATAATTACAAACCCTGGTTTAAACTGGAATATCCTGGCTTTTCCATTTTCAAATCTTAGAGTTGGCAAACTTATTACACAGCTTTGTTTGCTTGATGACATGAATGAACGATACTACGTTGCGATCTACGTTTACGCACTACTTCTCACCCTTATACCTTAATTGAGACCCAAAAGTATACTACTGCTTAGTCGCCATTTTGGCTCAACCGCGCATTATACCATCGTTTTGCATTGCATTTTTTCCTTGCATCGTTTTCCTTTCTACTGAGGATCGTAGTCTCTAAAGAATTCAGACCAAATTACGCCATTTTCCAATCCTTTGCAGCGTGGATAGCTTCGCTGACGCTAGAATCAGTGTTACGCATGTTTGTTACGTTGCAAATAATCTGTACCTAGCTTTAGATCAACCATGTTACGACTGCTATTTGCAGTTTCAATAGAATTTGCATTTACAACATATCTGGAAAGTTGAGTGAGTATTCAATTAAAAAATTAAAACATTTATTTAGTCAAAGTCAAAATAATCTTTATTCAAATAGACTTCTTAAAAGTACTTTTGAATCGTCCAACATTTTTTCCCTACCACTCGTTCAGGACGTCTTTTGGCTGATAAGAAGAACGAGCAAGAAACTCACCAGCTCTAATAAGAGTAATGACATTTACAAAAACCATGTCATTACCAGATCAATACATTATAAACAGAGATAAAAAAAACTATGGTCTTATAATAATAACATAATCATTTAATAATAATGGAAACAAGTTATATATAGTTTTTCTTTAAATGAGTCTAGAGAATGAATGCAAACGATTGTACATTATACTGATGATGGCGTCTTGTCTACAATATATACCTAGTAGGCTCGAAACTTATTATACAATTTCATAGCAAGCAAGTTATCATTATTCCGATTCCGAACGGTTTAATGCGGGAAGTTATAAAAAAAACTACGCTATTGTTCACCATTTTCTATTTTACCAACAGTTGGCTTTACCGATGAACAAATAATAAGTATAATAATCCCACGAAGAAACAATACGATGTGGGGCAAGCAGCTGACACAATTTAATTTGCGCGAAGTAAAACGCTCTGGTTCCTATTAATTTACTCTCACGCTTCCACCTGCACTATAGCACTCCATAAATTACCAGCAACCAACTAGAGTCTACATCTTATTATTTCAAAATTTCAGTCAAAATAATCTTAAGGTACCTTTTTACAGGATCAATCTCGTAAAAATTTTCACAAGTAAGAAATATAAGGCTACCTATTTAATCATATTATTAGTTAATAATTTATACCTAATAGCTTATTATGAACTCGTTTATGATATCCATGTTATAGGAGATTTGAGAAATTGACATTTTGTAATGTCCAGTCCGATTATATAAGTTCGTATGGTCTCGACGTCGGGCTCAGCGCTGTAATAAATAGCATAGAGGTCCAATCAAATAAAATTATAAAATCAACATGAAAAGGTAATATATTTCCCGAGCTCGAGACTGTTTTTATAACAGAACAGCAGCACTGCAGATTGGGTTTTTAACTATGTTCCTACTTCTGTCGCATTCAGTCCATCATATTCTTCCCAATGTGTTGATCTCTATATTATTACTATAGAAAAGATAAATAGACTATTGTGTTGTGACGTCCTTCTGCCATATTGCTTTTAAAAGTTGTAGTTTGAAGTTGACCATAATCGGTTACGAGATTCAAGAGCATGTTAGTGTAAATTTCAATTTAATTTACAATTTTAATATTAAAATGAGAACATTGTTGCAAAAAACATTAAAAATTGTTATCTTGACATTTTGTCAAGTTAAACAAAAACTTGAAAACTAACAAATTTAATTTGTAACTGTGTTCACCAGTGATCAATATTATCGATGGTTAAATAAAAATCGAAAAATCCTACGTGACTTTATTCGATAACCGTTACAATATTGTCGAATCGTCGACGCTTCGGTTTCCAAAAGATAAAATAATGTTTATAGCCTCAAAGGTCGCATGTTAAGCGTTTACAGCTGCCTTTCGGTACCAGGGTACCAGGGGCAGGTCGGTGGTTGCGTGAGTACTCCCCTTTTCTCTAACCTGTCCACTTGCTTTCACGCTAGTATATCCTAAAAACATTTTGTATAAATTAAACGCAGATTTTCCTTTGGTCAATATTCAGATTTTATTGTGTCCCTATAACGAAGAAAGCCTTCTTGTATAGTGATGTTAAATAATACTTAAACAAGATTAGAGTTATTAGGTAGATACTTACCTGTGTTTAATTTTAAAAGGTAATTGGAAGCAAAGGTAATGTCAGAAGTTCATTAAATACGACAAATACCTTATACCTTTGTACAGAACCAATCTCATATTATCGGTGCAAATTATGTAGGAGTACATTATGTACAGACACGATTGATCGCGTGTTTGAGGTAAAACCTATCTACCTAGTTGGCAACGTTTGGAGTTCATTTTGTCAGCCAGTTCACTACGGTCTTGCGAAACTTGTATTGCTTCGTGACCTCAGCAAGTTTTTTGTATATTTTTTAATTAGTCGAGAGATAAATGAAGAAGTTAAGCAGTGATGTCGACAAATGCGACCACGAAAAGAGTGATGTTCATAAAAAAGAAGAAGAAAGAAACGGTGCGTGTTCGGGTATAGTTAGTAGATTTTGTTTAGTGAGACTTTTTGCCAGAGAAAGCATGTGGTAAGCTGAAGTGTAACCATTTTAACTTTTTATGGTTTTACGCAAGGTTATATTTCGTGTATTATATCATGCATTTTGCGTACGACTTTGGACCATTTTATATGTGCTTGCTTTGTTATCATAAGTATATGTTTTGTATACGTGAATATTTAACTGGGACAATAAGAAATGTCGATTATAGCACATTAGTTCTTGTATGTATATGTGGAAATTCGCGATATTTTATATGGTACACTAAATTCTTTGAACAATCTTCGAGTCATGGTAATATAATAACCTATTATTGTAGAACATAAGTTTGGCAGTCATAATAGCAAACATGGTATGAAAT